GAAAAGGGGGGGGGGGGGGAATTTGTTTGAAAGGAATTTTCACCATCCTTCCAAATAGGAACCATTTCCTTGATAACCATGTTTACATCACAATATTAACATTTGTCTATATCTGATGGAAAATGAATAAATCTTTCAGTAACTGGGTCCTTAGTCAGGGCCGTAGCTATATAGACAATTGGGGGGTGGGGTGGATATTCATATATTTGTGTTCGGCCCGACGGATTTCTTTTCAAATTTTTACGGTATGTGAACATGAATATATGAATATACAGTACACTCCCCCCTCAATTATCTCGTCTAGCTACGGCCCTGTCCTTAATTAATCCTGGTGCTCATATCTTGTAACTGGGAAAAAGTGATAGGCTAATGCAAATTAAAAAGTATTGAAATGATTTTCACCAACCTTCAAAATAGAACCATTTCATTTATAATCATTTATAACCAAATATTGAATTGCAAGTATAGTACCGGTATATTTGAGCAACCCGTGCAATTGTCCAGCAATATTGTTAATGTCAATTTATCGTGTTTATTTATCGCGTTATTTATTGTGTTTATCCAGCCATTGATGAAATTGAACAATGTTCAAATACTTGAGTGGGCTTTTCTTAATTTCAGGGAAGCTATCATGTTGTCTTCCTGCCACGTAATTGAAAGGATTCAATTGCACGATATCGGATATCATTTCCTTCTTGTCTTTAGTTGAGTCACGGGTTGTATGTTGTACTGATTTCGGATGGATACCCATAGATGAGTCAAATTGGTTTAAAACAAGATGCACACCAGTACTTGCTTTACACACTTTACTTATGGAAGCTAGAGTTTTGTTTGGGCCCATTCGTTGGACAACCTCTTGCTAAGTCGGTTTGAGATCTCTTGAGCCAAGTCGTCCTCAATATTATGCCCAATGCCACCTCTCCAATTAACGAAAAATACCCATGTAAACTCTTCTGATAGACGAGGTGTAAGTAGGCACTCAATTTGGGCAATACTTACAAACATTTCAATGGCGTACTTGCTATATGATCCCACGGCTTTGAAAACTGACAGCAAGAGTTTCTGGTTGATTAAGTTTCTTTGACCATCTCCTTCTGCCCCAGTGTCTCTCATTTGCATTATAAGAACTCCCAAAAATATAAATGAAAGAGCATAATTTTTCACATAATCATCATCACCATCATCAGGGTCATCAGCATCAACTTTCTGTAATAAGAACTTGTCAATAAATTTTCCAAATACGTCATCAAAGTATTGTTTCTTGTCTGAAATGGTCTTGTGTGCAATGTTCTCTGGAAACGGATGTAAAGTGGGTTCATCTTCTAAATTACTCATACCAAAAACATCCAGCACAGCAGCAATGATGTAAGCTCTAGCTACACAGAGAAACAACTCTTCGCTACCTTCGAAAGTGTCAATAACTTTGGAAGGGGTAACATTCTTTCTGTTGTACTTCTCTCTGAAGTATTTCAGTGTACCAACTTGATCTACTGAATCTGGTTTGTGCAGGAATGAATATGAATACTGCAAAAGTGACGCTCTGGTGTGCCACATGACTGGTTTGAAAGGTGAACAGTGCTCAAAGCGGTCCGATGGTGTGTGTGAACCAGCCAGTAGATCCTTTGCTCCTGCAAATCTCACATGTGTTAATTGATCACCTGAAAATGCTATCTTCATCTCATGCATTGGGTCATGGACTGTATCATGTCTGTGGGCATCTGTCTGGCCAGGTGCTGCAGGACCCTGAGGAACTGGTGGATTTTCTGTAACTGGTGCTTTGTCTAACTTTCCTGCTTTGACATAGATTTCAGCAATCCACTTTTTGTAAGTTCTTAATATTGCTACACAGTCTTCATATTTCGCTTCATTAGCATTGATAATTGGTAAGCTAACAATTGTGGACTTTTGTGACATTTGTTCGCTATACTCATGAGAAATATGGTCAGGAACAACAGCTTTTAAGAACTTAAACTTGGGTAAAAACTCAATGACTATTCAGCCAACAAGAGTCTTAGCACAATCTACGTATCTTCTCATTTCATTGACATTTAAGGAAAAGTTTTTCCGTGGAAATTGTTTTATGTCTCCCTTTGGTTTGTCATTAGGCAAATGGTTGAAAGACACTCTGTTCTCAATCAAATTACTTGCAAACAAGTGCAGATCCTCGTTCTGAATTTCCTTTCTCATATGTCCTTTTAAAATCTTCAAATCCCAATTATCACCAGTGCCTCTGAAAACCTTCTCATCCTTTACCTTCTTAACAACAACATCTGAGAAATGACCTCCCAAGAGTTTGAGTAGCATATCCTTCCTGCGATGAGACAGACACACACCAAGTTTATTCAGTCGTTCTTGGAGCTAATGACGAAGATAAAAACAATTAAATGTGTTACTTACATCTTACAAGGGAAGGGCAGGTGGCAGCTAGAGCGCGTGCCTTTTACCACTGAGTTAAGTGTGTTACTGCTGATCGAGAACTATAAAATCTACAATAATGACATTGATTCCTCTAAATTGTTGTAAACTTGGCAAAGGGGCTGAATATGTAAATAAGACATCTAAAATAGCCTAAATAACCTTCAAAGCACTGAATAAATACGGCTAAATACAATAAATCACTATGAACATAAATCATATACACCCCCCGGAAAGTTTACACTATGATGCCTGGTCCCTGACTAATATGAATTTTCACCGATCAGCACAATACTGTACAGTTTCGAAGAAACTTTACACTAAAAACAATGCATTACCCATTCAGCAGTGACACACCCTAAGTTTTCTACAATTTTAATTTTGCTTTTATTCTAGACACTGTTAAAGTGTGATGTAATTACTGTGTAACATAAACTTTACAGTGTAAATGAGCATATTGTATATAATATACTATATTATAATATAGCATTTGTAAATTCTGAACACTGATTGGCTAAGAGCCATGTTGATGTAATTTTTTGTCAACACGGAAAATTTATTGCTTTATATTTCTTTGTACTATACTATAAAAACTATAAAACCAGGGGTGGATCCAGCAAGGTTTTTCTAGGGGGGGGGGGTGCTGGGTGAGCAGCCAAGTATTTCTTTATAATTCTTTGTGGGGTGGTGGGAGAGCATTCAAATGAATTGGTTTCCTAATGACTCAAGCTCCGAAGGCACAAGCTCTGTAGAGGGTCCAGGGGTATGCACCCGGAAAATGTACTGTATATACAAAATATGATCATCTTAAAAACCCAGTACACCGTATGGACTGGTCACTGTGCAAGATGTAAATTTTAAATAGTTGTATTCCAATCCTACAGGTGTACTAGTATGTGCCATGGAATACCATATAATACAAGTTTTTTTATTTCTCTTACAAAATTTGGAGAAAACATCCTATATACTTTATTTTTGTATATTATGTACTATTTGATTAACACATGAGTAGGATTGTTTTATCAGAATCGATATAAAACGCGAGGTGTAGCTGAGCGTTTTATATCTGATAAAACACAACTACAATTGCTTTGAATACAAAATATATGAGCTTCATATAGTTTAGTATTCCCCCCTAGAATCCAGTATCCCACTCATGGATACTGGCAACTGGTACCATAAGTATCATACCCCATCCCATCCAAATAAGTGTCAATAACTCTCACTGTTACAGGGCCGTAGCAACCGGGGGGGCTGCAGCCCCCCCAATAATTTGCTAATAATCATTCTTTTTTCAAAATCACCTTCAACAAACTTCAATATGCTGTCCTCAATGAGGAAAAACTGGTGGCAAACTAGTATTCAAAAACTATCAGGAGCCCATCTTCTTAGTATCCATGGTTGTTTACCATTTACAAGTAAAACCCATCCGGTTTGAAATTGTGCTAATGGTAAGCAAAATTTCGGATAGAAAATCCCATTCGGATTATTCGCTTTCCATTTAATAATTTCAATTGTTAAATCGCGAAGAGCCTGGAACTGGTGAAAAAATTTAAAAAATGTAAATGCATTTTCAAGAAAATCCCACAAAATCTGCACATTTTTGATGAACTAATGATTTATTTTGTCTTTTGCGTGTTGGGTCTTGTGAAAGAAAACTCTGAAAATGCCATTTCAGACCATCTAGAGACTCCAGATTTTCGAAATTTTCTCAAATGTTCTGCCTTCATTTCCGCGCAACTGCCATTTACGACGAAAATTCCCGCCGCGCATTTATAATACTACAGTCTGGCCCATGCTTTCCTGTAAATTTCGACATACTAAAACGCTGTTTTCTGACTATCAGAATTCTGTTAAATCTTCCCCCAAAGTCCAGGAAATGGCATTTTAGAGACTCTAAATTTAAAAATTTCCTCGGGCCTTCGGCCCTCGCTTTCAGCCCCCCCAATCGAAAAGAGCTTCCTACGGCCCTGTGTTACAAATGAGATGATACTTCCCTACTTGAAATAGTGGACGATCCTGCTTTGACTTCAGCAAAGCTAAATAATGATCTTGAGCTTATAAATATATGGACTAAGAAATGGCTTGTAACTATTAATCCAGATAAAACTACATCTATGATATTCTCTGTCAAATGTCAAAAACCTTTACATCCTCAGCTAAAGTATGATAATAAAGCCATTGAATCTGTCAGTAATCATAAGCATCTAGGAGTCACACTTTCGTCTAATCTTTCATGGAGAGCTCATGTGTTTAATATTTATGAAAGAGCGTCAAAAAGATTAAATTATTTTAAAGGTTTGAAATTTAGAATCAATAGAGAAGCTTTAAATCAATTGTACAAGGCACTTATAAGACCCGTTTCAGAATATGCTGATGTGATTTGGGATAATTGTTCCTTGAGTGAGTGTGATCTCATTGAATCAGTTCAATATGATTAGCAAGAGTGGTCACAGGTGCTATGAGGGGAACTAGTAGATCCAGATTGTCGGATGAATTAGCATGGGAAGATATGAATACCAGGCGTTCTATGCATAAGCTTGTTTTATATTATAAAATTGTTAATAATCTTACACCAAGCTTTTTATCATATTTGTTACCCCAAATGGTGCAACAAAGGTCGGGCCATTTTCTGAGAAACTCTGCAAATTTTTAATTTAATAATATTAAAAGTCATTTTTTCCTTCGGCTACGTTTATGTGGAACAATCTCGAGCTTAGAGATTGTGATTTATCCTCTGTTAAAGTTTTTAAACGCTCGTTATGCCAATATTTTGATATTCAAACATATAATAAGTTATATGATTTTGCGAATGATAGGTTTTCTTCAATCTTGCATACTCGTTTGCGTTTGGGATGCTGTGGTTTAAATTATTATTTGTTCAAAATAAATTGTATCCTGTCGCCTATGTGCATTTGTAACACGGAACATGAAACAGTTGCCCATTATTTGTTAAGATGTCCCCGTTATGCTGCTCTTAGACACAACTTACACTCGAGTGCTGCACAAGTGTTTGGTGATAATTGGTATCTATTGTCAGATTTGCAACAAGTAAATATTCTTCTATCTGGTTCTACTAGATTGAATATTTCCGAGAACCAAAATATTTTTAGATCTGTCCAGTCCTATATAAAGCAAACTGAACGTTTTTCTTAGTTCAACCTACCAATTATCGCTTTTGCCTTTTGTTGTGTGCTTTATGGAGTCTTAACTCTCACAAAATTAATTGTTGAATGGAATACAAAATGTTTGGGCTTCAGACCTATCTGACCAGAAATTTTAAATAACATACTGTAGACCAGACCTTTTCATTGATACAGAAACAAATTCGGGTCTGACTGGTCAGGCCATTAAATGGAAAGCGCACAAAATTCTCTGTAGTTTACAATACACTGTAGATTTACTTACTTGTTTGCTACAGCCATGCACCTTCAATCGTGAGTACTGTGATCATGCGCTTAACAAGGGAGAGTTCATGCCACCTTTCACTCATGAGGATAGAATACAAAAATGAATATTTAATCATCAGCTCATGCCCTGTGCCTTCTATATCACTATCATTGTTAGACGCTGCATTCATTAGCTCCACAAGAAAAGGTACGTTTGTTTTAAATTCGTTCCATATTTTATCGAAGTCGAAGTCTTGTAAGCTCTCATAATCTTTTCCAAATAAAACTGATCCTTGTGAACGCCTACATAGTTTCTCGCAAGACTTCCTTATATCTTTACAGATAAGCTTTTTAATTGAATTGACAACAGTCGGACAGTGTTCTGCAAGAATATCTGCCAGTACAGTAGCATATCTAGTGTTTGACGCTTGTGTTATGAGTTGTTGTTGCCTTTCGGTTAAAAGAGATTGAGCTACTTCCAGCGTATCATTAAATGAACACCCAGCATCTGAAGATTGTTTAGGCAAAATATTAACAGCTTGCCTATTTCCACGTTGATTTTGTGTGTTTGAAGACGCTTCAGTTTCGACGGTCACGTCAGCCTCTGTTGTTGTTGTTGTATAAAACAATTGTTTTGCCGAACTTAATTGTGACCGATTTATTTGATGAGTGCGCTTCGAAGGCTGTTGTGTTGGCGACTGTAGCATGCACCTTTTAACAGATAATTCATCAGGAGGTTTTTCCTGCAAAGACTGAGCTTTAACAATGAAATCTTCCATCTTATTCATGAAGGCGACGCACTGCCTACATAGCACTTTCGAGTTGCCATCGTCTTCAGAAACTTCTACACCGCACAGTTTCTTTATCTTCACACAAAGATTTTTTGATGTACCAGTTTTGCTAAATATGCGTACCATGTGACGTGTGCCTTGACAACCACCACAGAGTCTACAAACTGGGTTTCTAGTTGTAATTTTAGTCGGTGTGACCTTTGTAACCCCTTTGTCTACCATCATGAATATGTATAATAAAATTCAAATTGGGATAAATTAGGTAATTATTCTCAAAGTTGCATAAATTTTCAAAATTTAACAAGCCAATCACTAGACAGAATTAACTGGCCGACGCCAGGGCCTTTCCCCTCCCTCGAAAGGCCCTGGGATCGAGGTTGACCCGCTGAGTGTATTTTTGCACCAAGAAGGTGTAAATTTACTCTTGTGGTTGTAGTATGAAAATACTGCCCTGACTTGGGACTTTTGCTTTTAAAACAAGTTATTCCATCTAAGTAAATGAAATATATAATTCGGTTTAAAACAAACATTTATACATTATTGAAAATGACAGTTGTTAGCAAGAAGTAGAAAAAGTAAGTTACAGATGCGGTACAATCTGTTATAGCACACATCAGCTTTGTCTACATTTTTTCTAAAGCATTAACACACTTGCAATAATGTACAACCAAGTTAAACTACTCGTTTTAAGACCAGGAGACTCCATGTAATGTATGCATGCACATGCAAAACAATGTGTACCGCATCTTTAATTATTTAAAAATTGGTTAATTATTAATAGACTACATCTTTACCCTATCCAATATTCATGTTTCCTACTCTGTTAATATATACATGCACTAGTAAGTTAGTAAGTTCACAATTTCGAGAGTTCTGTCATTAACACCAATACCTTGGTCGGTACCTTCTGTGTATCAAACATCTTCATTATATGCCTCTGTAGGAAAAAGAATGTGTTGAAACATTCTTTAGGATATTCCAGATTGCACACATAGTACAATAACATCATTGATTGCACTGCATCCAGGAACCCACAAGACTTGAAAATGACACGGTTTTCTGCCACAACAGATACATTGTCAGGTTGAGGTTCTTCTAGTGAGCCACCAATATTAAACTAGGAATGGTGCCATTCCTGAGCATTCCATTGCTATATCTTCTACCTCTCCAAACTGAAAATATATGAAAGAAAGCAACCTGTTAATTAAAAGTTAAACAATGCAATCATTCTTCATGTAAAATACAAAACAACGGTTATTCCAAATATATAGACATTTTAATTCTACAGTATTTGCATTTCAGTAAATTCTCAGCGATTTTGTATAAATGTCAAAACAATTTGATTATAAAATTGCTACAAAAATCATTGATTTCAAAATCAATGCATAGTTTCTGTTGGGGGATATCATACTCGAAACATATTTATCTCAATTATCTTATTTGCATTGCCACCTGTGTGCATTTTGTTCTGTTATTTCATGCACATAGTAAAATATTTGGCTACTGTACCTGATAAAGGAAGGATTCTGGATTTGTGGTCACCTTTGTATTCCGTTCCAACAAGTATGGAAGCAAACACATTGCAACATATGCCTGGTCTTCTATTTAACAAAGATAGTAATGTTAGATTTAGAGAATTAACTGGTTAGGCTGCATTGCCCTCTCCCCTTTTATTTGTCAAAGGGAAATTTTATTTACAAACAAGTTAATCAGTGCATGCAATGCTTCCCTCGGTAAAAATTGACCGGCCCATTTTCTAGAAAACGTACCCTGATGCAACCTACTTTAGTATTGTACTTTGTCTTATACAAGACAATCTAGCTCATCAAGGGAAGAGCACTCTGGGGGTTGAAGTTGACCCTATTCTGCTATTATGAAAAGTTACCTTGATGATCTTGGTATTCTATTTGTACTTTGTAGCAGAGAAAATGTGATGCATTTGATAGATTTTTGGTGCATAAATAAAATTCTGACCAGATAACAAAAAAGTATTTGCTATGTACATTTGTTTGATCATTAGGCCAGGTTTGGGGATGGTGTCTCAAGAACATGCTCTCAGAAACATAAATAATATAGAGAATTTTCAGATGGAATACCAAATTACAAAATCTACTCTGGTTGTATGAAAACATGTCAATTTCAAATAATGCTAGTAAATAGGTTAACCTATTAAGTAGCAACACCCTCCCTCTGACAATTAGTAAAATTGTCTGGCATTAGACAGAGTAAAATAATAAAGTAGGTCGCATTTTATAACAAAATGATTCAGGCACCTGAGCCTCTTTTCTTACCACAACCGTCAACTGCCTACTTAAATGATACTGAAATGGGCCATATTGTAGCACATTTACTACCACAGATAAATATAATTGCCTGGTGCTAGTCAGAGCAAAATACTGTAGTAGGGTAAAACCAAAAGCACCCTAGATATACAGTAAAGTAAACAAAATATGTGTACTGTACCTGCACTTATATCTTCACTCTCATCATCATCATCAGAGGGCTGGCAAAGAAGTAAAAGCTTTTTTGCCTTTTCTGAGGTGAGATTCCTTTTCTCTGCAATCCCAAAGATCTTTGGGGCTAACTGCAGCAAATTGCTCTGCAGACAATCTGCTGCCGTGGTGTCTGCCATCAAACGGCTGTACTCACATTTTAGCTAAAAAAAGGTAGAAAAATATAATTAACAGATAGGAATTTCAAATTGTGTTTACACACTAACACACAAGACTCTTCTCTTTATGATTGCAATTGCCTGGCATTAAACGCCAGACTAAAATGCTAAAGAAGGGCACATTGCATGTTAATTAAAGAGTTAATTAATATGCCATTTAGATAATTATGTCCTAGATATTGGCCTCAATCTTAAGCCAATCACCTTATGTCTTTATTAATGGAGCAAGACTTCCACAGTCAGGAAGTATTTGACATATTAATTATTAAAAAATAACCTGCAGCTAAAATATGTTACAACCAGAGCATTTATGTAAGTTACTACATTTGTAGTACCAGTACATGTATATTCAAAATTAGTCCAGAAACACTTGTATGAACATGTATATTATAATCAGGGTCTGAAATTTGCAGTATCCCATATCCACGGCATACTAAAATTTGGTTTTGAATACCAAACTGTGAATTACTTATATCCCAACGAAAATATAGGGGCTCTATTTTTAAAAATATCTGACCAATCACATTGAAACTTGGCACAAAGCTAGTACCAATCATGTCACATATATTAAGCTTTGTCGAAGCACAGCATGGGCCTTGGTTGCCATGACGACAACGGATAAACCTAAATAACGGACTCACTCCCAACAGTAATAACTCAAAGGGAAAAATAGATATTAACACCAAACTTGGTAAGACTGTTGGTTGGGTCAAAAGCTGTGCAATGAATGGTTGGAATTGTGTTAGAGTTAATTGCCGAGTCCAAACACTGAAAATATCCAGTTTCCATGGTAACAAAGGAACAAATGCATAATATGCAAAACTGACCATTCATTGCATAGATTATGATAGGTTTAATACTCAGCCCAAAAATCATCAAAATCCATCAAATCCCCTTTGAGTTATCATTGTTACCACCCTCGTTTACAATAAATTCGTTAATTTGAATAAATCAATGTTAAAGTGTTAACAAACTTTATCGCCCTAACTTTGGCTTATTCTTCAAAAACTAGTCTAGTAAACTATCCTAATCTGATGTTCATGGTATTATTAGTTAGAATATTGTCTACTGACATCTTTTACCATAGAAACATTGGACATTTATGCTAAAAAAGTGAATGACTAAGCATCTAGACACAAGATTATCTTACTTGGAACACACTTATTTTTGCCGTTTTGCTTCTATCGTTCACACAACAGATGAGTCAGTCATATCCTGCTCTACATTACTTGGGGTTTTTCTTCCCTTTCTTTTTGACAGGCTCATCAGGCTGAGAGCTCAGGCTAAATCCACCAGCCTGGTAAGCGGTCTTGTCACCTTTCGACTTTTTTTGTGTACGAAGTTTCTGCCGTTGCTTTTGGTACTTGTCGCTAACCTTTTTTGAAGCAGCTTTAACACGGGACTGGTCTTGCAACCTTAGTGCTTTCATTGTGTTACTGCCTGGTGTTATGCCAAATATATCCATAACCATGGCTTTACTGGCAGCACCTGTATTGAAAAGGGCAATGGTCTCACAGACAGCTATTGTTACTTTTCGAGCTCCACAAAATTTAGTCTTGGGACATTTAGACCAGAGCATTCCATTGATAGCCTCATTCTGATTTTGTGTTATCCCTTTCAAACACCTAGAGAGCAGATTGTCCTGAGAAAGCCTTGTAAAAATTGGAGCTAACTCTTCCATAAACACCTCAGGCAAACGATTGCTTTGGTCATATGTTACGGTGTCATCTTTCTGTTCTTTCCAAAATTTGCACCAAGTGTTATCATCTTTTGGGCAATGTTGATGTTGTTCTTGCATAGGTACTTTTGTATCTGCAATCATGTGGCACTGAATTGCTTTTATGCTCCTCTTCATTCCCAGAAGATCACCCTTGTTTCCCCGAATAGCTTTTCCATAATAGTTTTGCATTTTGTCCATGATTTTGTCTGTCAATCTTCCCCGACCACCAACACCTTTACCATCTGATAGCTTCTTACCCTTCTTATCTGCCTTGTACTTTCTAAGTGCTGTCCCAAGTCTTTTCTGGACATGGCCAACACATTCTTCCTTTGTTACAATATAATCATCTCCATACTTTTGGAACATAGCATCCTTCACTCGTCCGTATGAACTACTGTCACCATCACCGACAAATGTAGTATATTTTAAGTTACGTTCATCGATACTCCTCCCAAACATTTCAGTGGCTGAAGCAGCTTCCATTTCTTCTGATGAACCTGCATGGTTGATTTGGCAAACTGGTTCATGGCATTCTTTCCAAGACTGGTATTCTTCACTTTCAGAATTCATGTTTCCATGGGCTTTACACTCATGACAAAACAGGGACTTGACGCAGTAATCTAGGACCTCACCAGTGTCTACAGATATAACAAATGTAACACCAATTTTTGATGAATGTCCTCTTTTTTGCCATGTTCCATCAATTGTCACCGACACATTTGCGACAACAGTAGTTCCATCATCTTCAATGTCATCCGGGCTTTCCATTGCGACCTTGTCAACCAGTCGCTTTGCCGCATCCTTCATCAACGTTTCAGCATTGTCTACCGCAATGGTTTTTATTTGTATTTGGTGGTCATTATAAGCTTTCTTTGTTACAGGAGGTGGCAAATTCATTCCAGCACAAAATTGAGTGAGTCCGGCATGACCCAATTGAGGAGCTGCTAGAACTGCTCTACGATTCACTTCCTGGGCTCCACCTCCCCTACCACCCAAACGCTTGCTGGTCAAGAGAGGGGTCTTTGCCTCACATATTGAACACTCTAAGTATAAGTGTTCTGCAAGGCCCTCTCTCAACCTGTTGTTTTGAAAGAGTTGTAGTTTGGATTTGGGATCTCTACAAGCACTACAAATTGCTGCACTAGAGATACATTCTTTTAGCAGAGATGCATCTTGCAATTTGAACCCAGATGCACTCTCAGTGTGACATGTAGACCCAAGGCCGAGAGTTTTGGTTTTTGTGCGGGTTAATACTGCTTGGTCAGACTCAAGCTTTTCAAAAGACGAATCCGGAGTTCATTTTTTATTTTATCCCCAAGGTACCTGTACCAAATTTCCTGAAGAGAGATCATATGATTTAATAATATATAAATAGACCTTACGCATGACGTGACAAGGCTTGATGCCCGCGAGGAATGCTGGTCTTGGTAGTCATCACACGGGAAAATTAATGAAACAATTCAAAATGGCCACTATCAAAATTTTCCCGGGCGATGACTACAAATACCAATATTCCTGGCGGGCATCAAGCCTTGTGACGTCATTATGCGTAAGGTCTATTAGACCAGGGTTTGAATTAGGAAGAAAACGTCAACTCACAATTTTTTGGAGGAAAATTTTGAGATTCTTGGCTGCAAAATACCAAATAGACATCTTACATGAAGTCCTGCAATTCCGGAAAACTCGCTTCACAAGCTCCTTATAAAGAAAACTTTTAAGTTTTAAGTTTCTGTTAAAACAGAACACCGTTTTAATAATAAACAAATGCCGTTCTTGACCCTTGTAGCTACCGCAACTGGTAAGTCTTCGCATGCACTCGAGGAACAAATTGTGTTAACGAATATAATTTACACTTTAATCTTTACTGAGAATGATATATATCAGGTATTCTTTTTACCATTTCACATGTTTTTTAGAAAAACAAAAATTGAAATCTAAGACATTTATTAAAAAAATTGTTGAAAATTGTGAAAAAAACACACTGCTGGATTATTGACTGACATTTAAGATATATAGTCCAGGACATGGTGTATAAATACACTTCAATGTTAAGGATAGTGAAAACTAAACACAAGAAACCGTTGTGCATTTTAACCAGTCATGTGTGTCTGGTAAACCACAATACCGTAAGCATCCATAAGTACTGTATATTTTGATGAGCTTATATACACACAGAGGCAAAAATGGGGGCTGGGGGAGGCTTATATATAGACAACATTTGGTGTTAGTAATAATATTTATTGTGACTGTAAACTAGATGGCGTACTGTGAACAAAACCATGGGCTTATATTCAGGGGGGGTGGAGCTTATATTCTTGCTGTCAATGACCAACACTTATTTTATGGCCTGATTATAAACTGTTCAGCACCACTATTGTTAATTCCTCAGGTGGGCACTGGAAAATGCTTGGCCACTGTTACACATGCTGTGATTGGCAAATTACATTACAGTTAAATTTAAATACAGTAAATGTACTGGGAATATAATGGGCTGGGAATGAATGGTTACTTAATATTAAATAAAGGTTGGCAATAAACATACTAAACATGACCAGGGATCAAAATAAATAAGAAAAATATATGGCCTGCCAAATTATTCTTTTTTGACAGAACAAATAAATTATGGTCTGCTATTTCGTGTTTTTTTTTAAATATCCAAATGATCCTACCCTTGTAAATAATTAAAAAAACACTTTATTTTAAAATATACCAACCATATATTTGTCATACTGCTGTTTGCAAGCTACCATTGCACATGCAAATTTTCAGGTTTGTGGCAAATGTTGATTGGCTTGCTGAGAATGTTAATGTTTTCCAGTCAAAACCAGACCATTTGAAATGTAAACAAACCTGAGAAAATCACACGCCTAATGGTAGCTTGCAAACAGCAGTAATAAACAAAGGAAACTATGGATACTAGTATTGTTGGGTAAACAAATGGAATCAAACAACCTGCACATAGAATTTTACCTGTGAATTTTTTTATTTGGCAAGTAATAATTTTTTGCCAGCCATTGAAATATGCATGCCTTGGCTGCAGTCACAAACCACTGGTATAACAACCACTGGTAACTCGAGAAAACTAGCTTTAGGGCTTGTTCATATGAGCCGAGCTGACCTTTAAACCAGGCTCTGCTAGCTCACTTTGCTGGGCCAAGTTGTTATTTGTTTCACACAAAGAGGGCTAGCCCGGCAAGCGCTACAGAAATTCCCGCTACGTCTGGTTTGCATGCAAATCAAATCTCAAAAACATATAAAAACAATATACGAGGCGAGATCTCGCCTCTTGCAAGTCAGTCCCCCCCCCCAGCTCATATGAACAGGCTCTTAACATAAAACATGCTCTTGATATCATTCAACTGCCATTCCCCATTCAAAATCAAATATAAGTTGTAGATACAAAATACAAGACTTACATAGCTACCACCAGCATCGGCATGATTGCACGGCAAACATCACATCTTTGGTCTGGAGTAGGACAACTATAAAAACAACATGACAAATTAATTTTCGTAGAATATTTTCCAAGTGTGATTGGTAACAGGCAGGTCCTCCCTGATGAACACTTCGGTGAGTGGAGCTTCCTGAATAAATATTATTTAATTTTCATTTTTAAATTATAAGAGAACTTGAGGAAATTATTAAAAAAAAACTTCAGGTTAAAATTACAATATGAATAAGAGTAAACTTACACAGTAAACAAGCAAATCCGGTCATACGGTCATAGATTGTCTGGATGAACTTGCATCTTGCTTGCTTGCTTGCTCATATCCATTTTTTTCCCAAGTGTTTCCTGAACTAAAGGTGGGAATCGTTCAGGCAGAATGAATGGCGAAGTCCACTGCCTTTTGACCACTGGCACTGCACTTTCATTGCTGTTAAAAACACATATGATATAAATTTATACTCATATTAAATATATAAAATGACAAAAATATGCTTATGTAAATTTTGCAGCCTGTGGCACTCAATCTGATAATCCGGACTCTAGGCTACATTCATCATATTTCACAACTCAATCTATACCTTGAAAGGCTAGTTGATGGATCAAGTTCATCAGCACAGCTTGAAGTTGAAGTACAGCTTTCAGAAGCATCTTCTCCCCAGCTTTGAATTGAAACCAAGCCAGACGTTGAATCCTCGCTTCGAGAATCGGATAAATTCGAGTGGGCTTGCATTCCTTTGATAGCCTTCAGCAATTTCATTCTTGGGCTAATCCTGATGACTAATGACTGCAAGGCATTCTCAGTCAGACAAGACATGGCTTCCTCATCAATACCTTTGTCTGTTTATAGAACATATAACAAAAAATTAGGAAAAATAGAACAAATTAATAATTCCTCGTAATCTATAAAAGACTAATCACACACTAAGAGTACTCATATTCTTACAAATCTCAAAACAAGCAGCAAATAGGTCTTTATAAACGATATAAACTGAACAAACTGTCCATTTGTGATATTGCCATAATTTTGACACGAGATGTTATAAAATCAATACATACCATAAAATGCCTGACTAACGTCTTCAAAGCCATTACTATTAAGCCACGCGAATACATCGTCAACGGAGAATGTTTCTTTAAGTACAGATCCCATTTTTATCTGTATTTTAACTATTTAAAACGGATTATTTTCGAAGCGAAACAAATTTTCCAACCGACAACGAACAAATTCAAGACAGAACATGTGCAATATGACAAAATTCCCCAGAAGTCTTTGCGTTCCTAAGTTATTGTATATATGAATGAATTATAATATATAAATATCATTATTACCATTAGCAGTTTTGTTATCATAGAAAGTTTACAATAGTGCCGTTTGCCAATAGTAGGCTATAATCACTTTTCAATTTTCAGGAAAATGCAGTATAAATAATGTTTTGGGCAGTTTTGTGCGACTCACTTGCGTTCTTTCATAATACCGACGGCTTCCCGAGTACTCTCAAATGTGTGAAAACTAATTGTGTATATCTTTCATTTGCCTCGTTAAAAAAATATCTAAGTCATTTCCGGAATTATCATGTCCACGAACCTAATTTTGAGATAAGGTGCCCAGTTTACTCCTGTTTTCGGTCATATTCACTCATATCATCGTTAACCTCTCACATGCGTCGAAAACATTGTGGTGAAATTGATTTGGATAACGAAATAGACAATCTTATTCCACAAAACGATGACTGTCATGAGAATGCCGATCAAACGCCTTGCAACGAAGAGAAGATGGATGGAACTACACATGATATTTCTGTGAAAGAAATAGCATTATTTGCTTTGAAGACGCAGGAATTCAATCGACTCAGTGACACTGCAACTGATACAATACTCGAAAACACTTGTGAACTGTTAGAGCAAAACGAGGAGCATCTGAAAGCACAGGTGAAGAAATGCATTAAGCAGACTGGTCTTGACCCAAAAGACATTGAAGGATTGTAGGACTTGCTTGAGTCACAACATGATGTTTCTGCATCCATGAAGCAACTCAAAACTTCAAAGGAAAGAAACAAATACCCGAGGGACACACTTAACATGGTGGTAAGTAGCTCTACCATAAAGGGGCTGTTTACATACATGAGCCCAGCTGGCTTGCCTAGTTAACTGAGGCTCCAGGCTTCATACAAATTCCTTTTACAAAATTATTTTACTTAGTCTACATGTAAACTAGGCCAGCCCAAATAGCCAGGCTCAGCCCCTAACCTAACCCTGCTCAAACAAAAATGATCTATCAGTATCATATACCATATACCAGTACCATTATATATTAACAGCAACAATTTTGGAGATAATACAGTATGTTATAAACAGCAATAAGTTGTTTTCATGATTTCCTAAATCTGTTTACATGGTGACAAACTTTTATCTTTAATAATATACAGGATCCAAGTGAAATAGTGTTGGGGGAAGAGGTGGTCAGTTCTGGAGTCAAAGTGAAGAAACATTCATTTCAGTACATTTCGGTCATAAAGGTATTGCAGCAATTGCTCAACCAAGTTGACATATTCTCACAGGTAAGAAATATTAGCATGAATTGTTTGATGAATTTGTATCCAAACTTTGGAATTACAAAAGTCCAAAACTCCATATGAATATAAAGTTCTCACACGCTGTTAGGGGCTGATTATATGGAGGCGAGTTACCCAGCTAAGCGAGTTGAAAACTGCATATAACGAAAGAGTAATGAGCCTAAACCTTTGATCTTATGTACTTTTCAACTCGCTTAGCCGGGTAACTCGCCTCCATAAAATGAGGGCCTTAGTCAAGCTTGCAGTAACAACAACCATTGGAAAACAAAAGTGGGGAGAGGGGCGAAGCCCTGGGGTGGTTGCCCCCCCCCCCCACTAAGCTCACAACATCCACAGACGTTGAAACTTTTTCCTCGCAAGGTGAAAAGTATCAAACACAATAGATATTTTCCTCAAGGCCTCGAGAGGTCAAATCCTCACGAAAACTATCCACACACGAGAGAAACTTGCTGAGCTGAGCTGACGCAAGAGCCAGTTAGCTCAGCAAGTTGCTCTCTTGTGTGGCAGGCTTTAAATGAAATAATTCACCACTGTAATTTGTTTATTAATTTAATAACTAGGTTCAAAATTTACACCAAAGCACAGATGGGAAGATGCATAATATGACCTTTGCGATGGAGAACTGTTTAGCCCTGGTCACCATCCGTTATTTTCTACGAATCATAAAGCGATTCAACTTTTGCTGTACTATGACGACTTTGAAGTGGCAAATCCTTTAGGAGTGAAGGCAACAATCCACAAACTTGGTATATAATAAAGTCCTGTTTTTAACTTAGTTTCATACCACATCAGATAAATATGAATTACAGTATAAACAAATATACTGTAAACATGTTAAAGCAGGGGGGATTGCTTTATCCACTATCCACTAACTTGTTGACCAAGGGACTTCACTCAAAAGGTTGAAGAACATTTTTCTCGAAATCTTTCAGGTAGTTTGATAATGATAACCTTACTATACACAGCTACTTTATCAGATCAAACCTATTATATGTGAACTAGCTTCTCAGCCGTGGTGTGAACTGATTACCCAAGAAGGGACCTGCCCCCATTCTTTGACTTGCAGATAGGTTAGTCTGCTCAGCACTCCCTTGGCCCTGCCATTTGATATAAGAATCGATGCATTCCTTCATATATAATGATGGCTGTTCCGATGATTTATTTTGACCCAGTACATTAATTAAACCATAGAATGAAACCCAATTATCAAATTTTATGGATGCCTGGAACAGCAAACCAGAAACTGAAGAATAAGTTAAATTATTTTTCCCAGGGTGGTTTTTACTGGGTGTTAGGTAATCTTCATCCAAAATACAGATCGTCTCTCAAGATGCTCAACCTCGCCATATTGTGTCCAGTCAAGTGGATAAAGAAGTATGGGATGCAACGGGTTCTGAAGCCGCTCGTGGCAGATGTAGCATTACTAGAATCAGTAAGTAGATAGACAACCTTTATTATTTTGACATGTTTAAAGCTACAAGCTTGTGGGGTCATGAATCTTGAGTATCGAGAATCTTATTTGTTTACTGTAGTTCCTCTATTTTACACCCTCTATCCTATGGTTTATTGTGTTTCAATCATTGTATTTAGGAGCATGGAGTTCAACTGAAGATAGGACATTGTGTTCAGTGGATGGAAGGTACAATAAGCTTGGTTTTGGCAGATAACCTTGGCAGTAATGGAATTGGAGGTTTCATGGAGAGCTTTTCTGTCCAAAGGCCTTGTCGATTTTGTATGGGTTTATTGGATGAATTTCAGTCGAAGGTAATTTTCATAACATTTATAATGTTGTAACTAAAGCTGCATTTTTAATGACTTCATTCAATGCTTTCAGTATCATTTAAGTAGGCGATTGTGGTAAGAAAGTAGGCTCAGGTACTAGGTCTAGGAATCATTTCACTATAAAATATGGGATAAGTTTTGCACCCTACTTTTATTATTATTATTTTACTCTGTCTAATGCCAGAATATTTCACTCTATTCCAGAATATTTCACTCTATTCCAGACTATTTTACTCGTCAGGCGAGAGTGCTGCCACTCAATGGGTTAAACCACTGAGTCACATTGCACTCTGATGCACCCTACTTTATTATTACTTGTGAAGGGGAGAGCGCTGGCGCTTAATGTGTTAATGCATTACAATTTATAAGGCTAGCATGGCCATTTTTTGTTTGTTTTTTTTGCTCAATTAATTTGAAGTCTGCTATTAATCTTGTAAACAGTATTAATTTCTTAAGCAGTACTGTATAATGGTTAATGCAGTTTGTTTTAGCTATTTTTGCCAAAATGAAAACTACAGATATTTAGAAACTTGTGTAAAATTATGTTTTGGAGAAAGTAAACCGATGGTAAACCTTGTAACCATAATGCTGGCACACTGGCATTGTCTGTTGATTATGCTTATATTGAGGCCTCCTTGGCTGAGATTTCTAAAGACATGTAATTTCTGTTCAGTTTACAGAAGAAGAGTTTACCATGCGTTCCAGGAAGATGTATGACCGACATGCTGCAATGGTATCTACTGACCCTGAATCGGCATCTGTTTATGGTGTTAAGGCACAATCTGAGTTGAACAACTCCAAGTATTTTCATGTTGTGGACGGCCTTCCTCCAGATATTATGCATGATATTCTGGAGGGAGTTCTACCTTTGCATTTCAAGGTTATGTTAAGGAAGTTTATTGTGGAGGAGAAAAAATTCACCATTAATGAACTCAATTTGGCGGATTCAGGGCTTTGCCTTTGGCACCAGTGATTACCGAAACAAATCAAGCTTGCTCAAAAACATAACTGCATCAGATTGCCATATACGTCAGTCAGGTATTGTACCAAATAAATCTTTAATCTGGTTTCAATCCAATTTTAATTTCGAAAATAGTAGAGCATTCATATTGTAATCTGCTGTATCTGTTCAGGTTGTGGGTGGGTAGGGTTCTATTTTTCATAAAGCAATTTATCAGGAGGTAGTACTGCTATGTGATGACTATTTTTGCACATGTACTGTACCAATACTAGTTAACCCAGTAAGCAGCAATGCTCCATACTTTTTTCTTTTACTCTGTCTAATGCCAGACGATTTGACTCGTGAAGGGGAGTCTTGCCCTCTAATGGGTTAACCAATTAAACAATTGTGTCTGTAATCTGCCAATGTGTCTGTAATCTGCCAATGTGTTTTGTTAACCCAAAAGCAGCAATGCACCCTACTTTATTCTTGTACTCTGTCTAATAAATAACAAAAAAATGACATGTATTTTTATAGCATCACAAATGTGGTGTCTCTCTAGATTCTTACCCATGATCATTCATGATCTAGTACCTGAAGACAACCCTGACTGGGAATTATTTAGTGATCTGATGAAGATTGTGGATATAGTTATCTCACCAGTTATTGCAAGGCAGATAACTTATTACCTGCAAGTTCTCATCAAAGAGTATCTGGAGGAATTCAAGAATCTTTATCCAAACACCAGACTGATTCCAAAGCAACATTTCATGGTTCACTATCCTGCTCAAATTAGAAGGTACGTTACTGCCAGAGCCCCAAGTGGTATTGCGGCATCCATTTTTCAAGTAGGCTATGATCAGCTGTGTGGCAGGCTCATGGCCAGGACACACAGGCTATAGTTCATGGGGTAAAGGCAACATTTTCCCAATAAGGCACTATATTTTCAAACATTATCCAAAAAACATTCATAAAACAGGGTCACAGGAAACATGAGAGAGGTGGCGGTGACCCCCATGAGATTCCATCATGTGAATTTGGTCAATTCAGTGATTTCAACAGGGGTTGGGAAACCGTAACTGAGTATGATTTCTGATATTCATTATATTTTCTTATTAGACAAAAGTGAAGATAAGTAAAATAACTACTGACATGTCAGCATCAAGCATTTCTAATTTCTGATGCACTTCAATGTTTAGGGGACAATTGGACTCCCGGCAGAATACCCAGGGGCGAAACTAGCTCCTTTTAATTAGGGGGGTGTCTGCTAGAATTGCCCTGCGAACGCCGATGATGCCCTGCAGCAAAAATTTTTTTTTGGCCACTATTTCTCCCCAAAATGTTGGCAAGCGGGTGGGGAGGGGAGGTCGGAAATATTTTTTCCGGACATTCAAAAAAGGGGCGAAAAAATGTTTTCGGACATAAGCCAATTAAATTAAGGGTCAAAAATTTTTTCTGACATTCCTGTTTAAACAAGCATGAAACCCTTATTTTTGACCAATATCTGTAAAATTTAGGTCTATAAATTCTATTCAATTCCCTCTGGAATCCAGATGATTTGTACTTGGCCCCCTCAAGTGTCGTATCATTTGAAGAAATGTCGTCATTTGAAGTAGTCGGTCATTAATTTTTCAATATGCAATCTAAACATATTTTTCAACAGGAATGGACCACTTGTGCGACAGTGGTGCATGAGATTTGAGGCAAAGCATCACTATTTCAAAAGATTGGCTCAAGGAATGAACAACTTTAAAAACTTGCCGAAGACCTTGGCAATAAGGCATCAACGTCTCCAGTGCTATTGGTTGTGCGAAGAAGATGCATATTTGAAACTTGTTACAGAGACTGGACCTGGTTAGAAATATTTCACTTTTACATGTTTTACAATAACATGTCAATTTTGTGCACAGATTTTGATATAGTACATATTTGACATATTCTCTCTATGTACAGGGTCAACTATTGAACTAAAAGAAGTTGCAGCAGAAAAGTGTGCCAGTTTGTGTGAGAAATGCGCTCTTTTGACACCAGAGACGAAGGTCTACATGTAAGTATCAGACTACTGATGAGGTAACATACAGTGAGGCCATTCTACCAGTATTTGGAAGACGACAACATCCTCACTTTAATACAGATTATGAGTAAAGATGTGGTACAATCTGTTTAGTGTGCATCTGGTAACACAGTTTAATTAACTAGATTGTTTGTTCTTGCAAAGTCTGCATGGTTATGCTACCTGTACTGTACCTGTACTGTACCTGTACTGGAAACAGGGAAATAATTGTGCATAGTTCTCCCCATTTTGATTTTAAACCTTTCAGTGGCAATGCACCCAGGATCTGCCCTACTTTGTTATTTTATTCTATCTACTGTAATACCAGACAATTGTATTTGTCAGAGGGAGAGTGTTGCCACTCAATTGTTTAACCAAACAAACTGCCCATGCATCATCTTAACCCTGTAAGTGGCAATGTAACCTGATGCGCCCTACTTTCTGTCTAACACCAGACGAGTTTACTCGTCAAGTGGAGAGCACTGCCACTCAATGGGTTAATCACACTATCTGCCTTTAAGTGGTAATGTGCCCTATTTTGTTATTTTACTCTGTCTAATGCTAGATGATTTTACTTGTCAAGTCAGGGGGAGAGTGTTGCCACTCAATGGGTTAAGTTCACTATTAACGATGTTGGTTTTTGTTCGACCAAATTCAAGTTATGTCTGACCAAAATTAAAAGTGATCGGACAAATGTCTTGTCAAATCAAATATTTATTTACAGCCCTGCAACAGTAGTGTATCATTAACTTAAGCCCTTCAATCCTCTTAATCTATCTTTCTTATTCCTTTTCATTAACAAATAGAATTGAAGCATTCGCTATTGTTCGCTTTAATAAAGACAATGTCAATGTTACCCTAGTTCAAGAGGCTCTTTACGAGGCAAATCTTTGTGAGACGAAAAAAACAAGAAGGAAGAGCCTCTGGTCACATCAGTTGCAAATCCCACTTCAACCAAGGCTTGAAATAACATTCCCAAAGTTCCTGATCATGCTTTTCCACCAATCATAAGCAATTTCTTGATCGGTTGTTATTTCCAACGCTGCTTCCACACTTGATTAGGTTCAGAATTTGAATCTCACTTGTGGTTGGCCATTTGTAAAAATATGTCAAACCGGTTTGGGAAATAAATTTGACATATTTTTACAAATGGCCAACCACATGCGAGATTCAAATTCTGAACCTAATCAAGTGTAGAAGTGGGATTTGCAACCGATGTGACCAGAGGCTCTTCCTTCCCGCCTCTCATTTCATACCAGGGTATGTCAATGGTTCATTCCCACAGGAAATGGTGCGACTCATTTGGACCAATGATTATTGTGTCATCTGAATTATAATGTTCCTCTTCACACAGTTTAGGCTTTTTTCTTTTTTCTCTCTCCTTTTTTTCTTTCTTTTTTTCATTCCTCAATTTTCTTTTTTTGCTTTTCTTGTCTTTTTTGATATTGGAAGTCGAGGTTGCAGTTTCTTTCTCTATATAAAGAAATTGCCTATTAATTATTTCAGAATTTTGAAATGTGAAGATTTCATAATAAAAAAGTTTACTTCCTGAATTAGACATTTTGTGAGGGTTTTGAGTACGCCAAATACAAAATCCTGCAGGCATATAACAGGCAGTACTATATATTGTTATCAACTGTATAAAGTTTAGAAACACTATATTTATATCAATTTAATATGCATCAACAACTGCTGACCTGTTGAAGTTCGATCGCTCCCTATCTCATTTTCATCTCTCGTCTGTTCATGTTTCATCTGTAAGGCATTAAAAAATCAGAGATTGACTTTCATATTCAAAACCATATTAATAATTCATGAACGAAAACCGTGATTACCTCAGGATCAATTTCTGGTAGTTCTGCCATCTTGAACACGTGGAGTAATTTAGCGACCATGTGCTTCCATTTTCAAAATCAAAATTTCTCATTTTTGCCATCAGAATTTCCTTAAATTGTTTACGTTATTTCCTTGAATTTTTTCTACTGTTCGGCACTCTTGATGTAATACTTAATTAGCATTGATAGGTATTTGGTACATACCTATAATGCTCTTGATGGTATATTTTTAGGGGAAATTGGATTGTGATTCATGAAGTCAAGTACCATAAGCGGGCAGCAGTCGTTTACCAGCATTCTGTACTACCAATTTTCTTGATGATAGAAGACATATTCATCATGGCGAATGGAGATGTATTTTTTACTTGTAGAAAAATGCATACATTAAGATTCCATAAGCACTTGCACTCTTATGAAGTTGCAATAGTAAACAATATTGTCACGAGTTATGATGAACTCCTGGACTACCATCCTTTAGATATTTGTGCTGTGAAAACGGATGGAATTATGAGAAAGTATATAAGAATGCGATATGACTTAGCTGATTGTGAAAATTAGGATGTAAATAATATGTATAGGTATATGTATATAGTTCTATGACGAGTGTGCAAATGTATGGGTCAAATATTTCCCATGATATACTTTAATTAACCAATTCTCGATATTCTTCAAATAAGTAATAATTAATAAAAAAGCTTTTAGTACAAACAGTATTTCTCATGTGAACACAAGATTGTCATATAACTGTTTACACTAAAGTTGTGTTTTAATACACATAAATAGTGTCTATTTACCGACTTCTGGTGTAAATTTACACCAATTTGGCACTTTACACCTAATAAGTGTTGAGGTAACACAACATCAGTGTAAAAATACACCTTGAAGTGTAATTTTACACTTCAGTGGTGTATTTTTCCGATTTACACCGAAATTGTGTAAATTTACACTTATTTGGTGTTCGCTGAACACTTCGAAATTTAGAGTGTAATATGTCATGTCAGGCTTTATAAATTAACAAAAAGCAAGTTCGAGGTTGCTGTGTAGAATATATCAAAAATATTAAAATAAAAGTGCAAAATGTTTTAAAAATTATAATATCACTTGCTGCCTTAAGCCTTAAAATATATATAAAGTCACGTTCAGTAAGATGTCGATTTCGTCGTGGTATATATATATATATATGCACATGACATGTATTTTGGTTATTTTTCCTACGTTTAAGTCAATTAAGTGATATAAGAATATCGGATATATTTGTATATACTTCCTGCAACAAGTTTTTATCCGAACTAGAACTTCATGAGTAAAAAAATTGAATTGCTGTTTTGAAATTCTATTTTGGTAAAATATTAAGTACTGTTTAATAAACAGTGGAGTATTTTGCACCATTTAGTAAAAAAATTCTTGAACTTTATATTTGAAAATAAGAAAATATTTAATGCTTTAAATCCGAATGCAATATAAACAGTGTTTCATTACAGTTTATATTTACCGCCTAATTAAATAAATGTAATTTTGCATCAAAAACACAGAAAGTCCGAGGTTGTTGTGCAGAATTTAAATAAAAAGCGCAAAATGTTTTATCAATCTTTTTTATACATCCTTAGACTAGTAGATTGGTATAGAAGCTTTAGGTTTTCAGTGCTGGACTTAGGAGATCAAAGCTATTTTCTGAGGGTCAGTGTGTCGTGATTTTAAGAAAGGCGTAAAACGAGTATCATTGCGTATTCCCCCCCCCCCCGCATTTCTTTCGACATTCAAAATTTTGCTTGAATTTTGCACTTGAATAAATGAACAAGACTGGGAAAAAAGATCTTGGTGCAGAGGTCTATATACCGTGAGCTGAAATGTTTTAAATGTGTGTAATTTTCAGTCGACGAAAAGTGCAAATTCAGCGAAGACGGTCGCCTGGAACTAAAGCGCTGCAAAAATATTATTTTTATGAAAATCGAAAAACCAAATTAGTTTCATACCTCACTGGTATGTGCCATTTCAGGGTAAAAGTTTGGGAGAAAACTGATCCGAAATGCAGTGGACCGCTTTTACAGAGACTGCCTCTTAATGATTTGCATTATTCAAATAGATGCAGCCATCATGCAGGTTTATTAGCATAGCATGAGCTGACAGGGGTGGATCTAGACGTTCTTGTGACTAGTTTCCAAGACAACACTAGCTCTCACCGTGAGGCGCGAGTTAGCTAAGGGGAAGGAGGGGGGTCCAGGTCCTGGAATAAACACAAATTAACAATTAAAGTTCTTTTCTTTTTTTTTTGAGGCATTTGCAGTCTCTAAAAAAGAACCTTTAAGTTTATACTTTATGTCAATGATCAATATGAATATGTCATTGTTCATTTGTTCTTCTGCTATCTTCACTGTGACTTCATGTCAGTAATGTACAGTGATGTGAAAATTACCAAAAAAAAGTAACGAGTAAAATTACAATTACTTCTCCAAAAAAGTAATTATTACTAATTACTTATTACTGTCTCTCAAATGTAATTAATTACCGATTACTAATTACATTTTTGAAAAGTAATTAATTACTAATTACTTTGAAATTACTTTCAAGTTCTCATGGACTTAAACAACAACAAAATGTTAATTCAAAAGGCAGTTCCAAAGTTAAGAGTTAAGACTCATGCAATGGTATTAAATTTGGAGTTCAGCTTTAAGAGTAGTGCCGACTCAAAATGGTCACCAGTTAACTGATCAAGCCTCCACAGCTGAGAAGACGTTCAACAGCTGCACTTGCAGGCAATACGGTGTTTAACTTCAAAGCCATTTGCTTCAAAGGTGCAGCACAGTGTCCATTGTAAACTGTGGCATCAATAATGTTTAAAGCCAAGCAGGTATCTAAAGGCGATTTGGTTGCCTTCTTCTTTGACTTGAGAAATTCATCGTCATCGTCGTTTTTTTGGAAAATAATAAAAGTGCCCAAAAGTAACGCAAATTACATTCTTTAAAATGTTACTCGTTACCTTCAAAAAGTAATTGATTACGTTACAAATTACTTTGGTGCAAAAAGTAATTAATTAACAAAAAATTACCCAAAAAGTAATTAGTAATTAGTAACGTGTTACTTTAGTAACGAGTACTTACATCACTGGTAATGTAAGATGACAATGACAATTGGCACACAACTACCACTGTTCTTTCAAAGTTATACAACATCTTAGGATATCACTGGATGATCTGAATCGTATGCAGTTGACCATTGTTAGCAAAGTAACATTTCAGTTATTCAGTATATGTCAAAGCAAACCACCACTTCCAAAGAAGAAACTTAGAAGTCAAAGATGGGATTATCGGGAAATATTTAAAACACATACAAATGTGCCTAACAAAATGTGAAACATTTTATGAATTCATGTGTATTAAGTTGCTAGCTTAATATTGTTCTTTATGGCTGTATGCATTTGATCAAATATATACTGTATGTGCATTTAATATTCAATTAATCATGCACATTTGTACATAAATTAACATGTCATATAGTCATGAATAATTAGTCAATTTAGTCATCACTACAAGTTTTTATCCGAACTAGAACTTCATGAGTAAAAAAATTGAATTGCTGTTTTGAAATTCTATTTTGGTAAAATATTAAGTACTGTTTAATAAACAGTGGAGTATTTTGCACCATTTAGTAAAAAAATTCTTGAACTTTATATTTGAAAATAAGAAAATATTTAATGCTTTAAATCCGAATGCAATATAAACAGTGTTTCATTACAGTTTATATTTACCGCCTAATTAAATAAATGTAATTTTGCATCAAAAACACAGAAAGTCCGAGGTTGTTGTGCAGAATTTAAATAAAAAGCGCAAAATGTTTTATCAATCTTTTTTATACATCCTTAGACTAGTAGATTGGTATAGAAGCTTTAGGTTTTCAGTGCTGGACTTAGGAGATCAAAGCTATTTTCTGAGGGTCAGTGTGTCGTGATTTTAAGAAAGGCGTAAAACGAGTATCATTGCGTATTCCCCCCCCCCCCGCATTTCTTTCGACATTCAAAATTTTGCTTGAATTTTGCACTTGAATAAATGAACAAGACTGGGAAAAAAGATCTTGGTGCAGAGGTCTATATACCGTGAGCTGAAATGTTTTAAATGTGTGTAATTTTCAGTCGACGAAAAGTGCAAATTCAGCGAAGACGGTCGCCTGGAACTAAAGCGCTGTAAAAATATTATTTTTATGAAAATCGAAAAACCAAATTAGTTTCATACCTCACTGGTATGTGCCATTTCACGGTAAAAGTTTGGGAGAAAACTGATCCGAAATGCAGTGGACCGCTTTTACAGAGACTGCCTCTTAATGATTTGCATTATTCAAATAGATGCAGCCATCATGCAGGTTTATTAGCATAGCATGAGCTGACAGGGGTGGATCTAGACGTTCTTGTGACTAGTTTCCAAGACAACACTAGCTCTCACCGTGAGGCGCGAGTTAGCTAAGGGGAGGGAGGGGGGTCCAGGTCCTGGAATAAACACAAATTAACAATTAAAGTTCTTTTCTTTTTTTTTTTGAGGCATTTGCAGTCCCTAAAAAAGAACCTTTAAGTTTATACTTTATGTCAATGATCAATATGAATATGTCATTGTTCATTTGTTCTTCTGCTATCTTCACTGTGACTTCATGTCAGTAATGTACAGTGATGTGAAAATTACCAAAAAAAAGTAACGAGTAAAATTACAATTACTTCTCCAAAAAAGTAATTATTACTAATTACTTATTACTGTCTCTCAAATGTAATTAATTACCGATTACTAATTACATTTTTGAAAAGTAATTAATTACTAATTACTTTGAAATTACTTTCAAGTTCTCATGGACTTAAACAACAACAAAATGTTAATTCAAAAGGCAGTTCCAAAGTTAAGAGTTAAGACTCATGCAATGGTATTAAATTTGGAGTTCAGCTTTAAGAGTAGTGCCGACTCAAAATGGTCACCAGTTAACTGATCAAGCCTCCACAGCTGAGAAGACGTTCAACAGCTGCACTTGCAGGCAATACGGTGTTTAACTTCAAAGCCATTTGCTTCAAAGGTGCAGCACAGTGTCCATTGTAAACTGTGGCATCAATAATGTTTAAAGCCAAGCAGGTATCTAAAGGCGATTTGGTTGCCTTCTTCTTTGACTTGAGAAATTCATCGTCATCGTCGTTTTTTTGGAAAATAATAAAAGTGCCCAAAAGTAACGCAAATTACATTCTTTAAAATGTTACTCGTTACCTTCAAAAAGTAATTGATTACGTTACAAATTACTTTGGTGCAAAAAGTAATTAATTAACAAAAAATTACCCAAAAAGTAATTAGTAATTAGTAACGTGTTACTTTAGTAACGAGTACTTACATCACTGGTAATGTAAGATGACAATGACAATTGGCACACAACTACCACTGTTCTTTCAAAGTTATACAACATCTTAGGATATCACTGGATGATCTGAATCGTATGCAGTTGACCATTGTTAGCAAAGTAACATTTCAGTTATTCAGTATATGTCAAAGCAAACCACCACTTCCAAAGAAGAAACTTAGAAGTCAAAGATGGGATTATCGGGAAATATTTAAAACACATACAAATGTGCCTAACAAAATGTGAAACATTTTATGAATTCATGTGTATTAAGTTGCTAGCTTAATATTGTTCTTTATGGCTGTATGCATTTGATCAAATATATACTGTATGTGCATTTAATATTCAATTAATCATGCACATTTGTACATAAATTAACATGTCATATAGTCATGAATAATTAGTCAATTTAGTCATCACTACATAAAATATGCACCATTCTCATTCTTCTTGGATGAAGGCTAGCAAACAGATCAATGATCTGTTCATAATCCAGAGAAATTGCCTTATGTGCATGCATTAGGGTCAAACCATTTAGTCTTTCCTGGCCTGTAGTGTTCCTTAAATAGTTCTTAAGAAGTCTGAGAGATGAAATTGACCTTTCACAGCTACAGGAGGTGACAGGAATAGTTGCCAATATCTTTAATACAGTAAAAATATTTGGAAAAGCTACAGGGTCTACAGATATTAGTGTTTTGGATACCCTGTCAGGAAGTTTGTCTATACCAACTTCCTCAACCTTATCTTCCCATCTTCTTTGCCATAAAGTTAATTCGGCAGGCAAACCAATGACATTTGGGATGTCACTAGAATAATGTTGGCAAAATAGTGTAACAGAATTTTTCCATGTGGATGGGTTTGCCAACATAACAGTGGGAACTATAGAAAACCCACTGTAACATGTATAGGCTTCAGGAGGGAACCTAGTTTCAAGTTGATTTAAAGCATGATCAAGAAAAACAACAGAAAGATTAAGTCTATAATGCCCTTCAATAGAATCTGATGGATTATTATTTCTATGTGCTTGCACTGGAATAATTCTAGGCTTACAGGGGTCAAGCCCAATTGTAGCTGCAAGTTCCACTGCCTCCTGATAGAGTTTATGGTGTTCTCTATCAATGTTGGATCTCAACCCTTACCAAAGCAAAAGTATGGGAAAGATATGGCAAAGTTTGGGCCATATATGACCCATATGTGGGCATGATATGGGACAATATAGATATCATGTGGGATTGGTATGGTGTCTAAATTTGTTAAATATTGAGATATGGAAAAGCTATGGAAACAAACACATTGCTATTAATCCTATGGGAAATCTGTGGGGTTACTTGGTCCATAGGTAATCCATATCAATGACATGCTTTTACATATAACCAATTCTATGGGAATTATATGGTAGTCCACACTTGGTTGTCCCATATACTTCCCATACCTATGGGAATTATATGGTAGTACACACTTGGTTGTCCCATATAATTCCCATATATGGGAATTATATGGTAGTCCACACTTGGTTGTGCCATATACTTCCCATATCTATGGGAATTATATGGAGTCTGAACTTGGTGTGGTTCTGGCCTCCAATAGAGAATCCATACATACAGTACCGCTCAGAAGTATTGAAGCACTCCCCCGCGTTTTTACCTGTGTCCGGAACGCGTTCAATGGACGCGTGCACCTTCGGCCAGCCCGCGTTCCGGTCACGTTCTTGTAATTTTTTGGCCGAAATTTAACCGTGTCCAGATGCAACCACGTTCTCGAGTACGTGATAAATATGCAGGTCTTCTGGTGAATATACGCAAAAAATGATACGACCAACCTAGGATTGAAGCAAGGACTTTAACCGTTTCTCACTCATTGGTGAGCGGATTTCCCAATTGATAGCATGACAAGAATGTCAACAGTCATTGCAACTTTGAAGGTTTTTACAGTGAAACAGCTGTTGATGCAACAAAATAGTATTTCCGTTCCAACTTCCAAATGATGAAATGCTGATGTGAGATGTAAAATAAATAGCACTGTATAAACAGAAATCGGTTAAAATTTAACCAATTTGTTTTTACAGAGTGGAAAGAGCTTTTAGTTCTAATAGTTCAACTCTGTATGTAACGCATGTTGAAAATAGGACTTGGTTGGTTTAATAATTAGTGGATTTGGATTTTGTACTTTGTGTTCAAATAAGTCCCGCAACAATAGTCAATAGCGGTTACTAGTAATTGAAGTAGTCTCCGAGGCGCACTGGAAACACTATCGTGCGAGTATTACTGACCTACAGTAATATGTGTAAAACATATTCTAACTTTTGACAGCATATAGGGCGGGGCATAAACGCTTGCCATTAAGGCAGTTTTTGTCATATATATAGCCGCCATAAAAGCGCTTTTCAATGACCATTAGAGTAATTTAAAAATGAAAATTAAAGCCCAGCAAATGACTTTCAGACAAGACATAACAAAATATAAAATATATTAACTAACGTTTCGTTGTACAACATCTTCAGAGCAATTAAACTTATTTACAAGTTGTATCAATCGCGACCATTAGAGTGTTGAAGTTACTATGTCTATGTTAATTAAATATAAAATTTCAATAATTTAATGTATATTTGATGGTATTAAATATAAAGATACTTATACACTGTGTGCCTACGTCTATGGAAAGCAATGATTCAGTTGTACGCATTTGCAGTTTTTGCACTGAAATTTACAGTTAAATGCATCAAGATGACGTGGAATTCTGATGGTACAGCATATGGTCATTAGATTTCCTTGTTGTTTTTCTTGTGGACCTTGTGGGGGATTTTCACAAACGTAAATTTTAAACTAAATTTACAGGCATGTGTAAATTGTTAGCAACGATTATTGCAAGGTTACTTGTAGTCTAATTATGAGCATTTGGTCTTTTGCGTGATTATACTGCGCTTAAAAAATAAAAATGGAAAAGCAAAAGGCCGACAGTCAGTTTTCTAATCAAGATATCCTTCCGTGATCAATTTTTGCTGTCAGTTTGCACGCAGCGTTTTGGCTTGGTGTACGACAAGTGACATGGACATATAACAGATCAAGGCTTGGCATGCGCATGTTTTCACACTTTGACTTGCATAGACGTACGAGATGCCTCCCTAATTATAGTGATTGTGTTTTAACATAAATAACTTAATCAAGCAAAAAGAAATACCAATATTAGTTCATTAACTTCATTGCCTACATTGAATTTACCAACTAGGACAATAATCTAGAGATTAAAATAGTTACAACTGATCAAAATATGTAAACATGTCAAAACATACGTATACTAATACCTACTTTAATGTGCTTATAGATTTGTCTTTCATTGCAATGTATACATTATCAAAAGGAATGTAAAAACCTGCAGATCCGAAATCAGTAAACCTTGTACTTATATTTATCGCACTACACATTCTTTCATCGTACAATCGACATTGCTATATCAACGATTAAAGAGTAATTCGAAGTGTTTAACAAATGCAAAGCAGCAGTGCAGGTTTGTTTGGTTTCTAGCGTCGATTTATATTCATAATAATCTACGTGAGACCTGGTGCGAATTTGTGCAAATCATAGCCCAGCCACTTGTGGTGCATGGTCGTCGAGTGTTAACAATACAAACTTATGGCATAAACGCTTTTGAAATTATAGACAGAACTGCTTGGCTATATCAGCCTATATGACTGTCAAGTTCGGCCTGCCGCGTTCCCCGCGCAGAAATTTTAGCCGCTGAATTTCTGTCCGCGCATTTTCAAGAAAATCGTACTAAATCTGCATATTTTTGATGAACTAATGACTTATTTTGTCTCTTATGTGTTGGGACTTATCTGAAAATGCCATTGCAGACGATCTATAGAGATTCCATCCAAATTTTCCCGCTCGACGCCAACCATGGTGTGACACCTTGTGGAAGTTATGCAACCATTATCAAATGTTCTGCCTTCATTTCCACGCAACTGCCATTTACTATACGGAAAAGTTCCCCGCGCAAAAATAATACTTAACAGTCTGGCATGACGTGCGATGTATTCATACGTCTATACGATATGTAATATATGTCTTTCATGAGTATATAATGGGGAAAAAATGTTTTGTGTAAACATTTATCCATGGACTTCCAAGATAAAATCTCTTTTAATTATTATGCATGCGCTTTTGCTATGCATATTGGCGCAATCTTCGAGTGTGGCGCGAAACTGTGCCTTTTGACACCAATGTCTACCTGTGTCTATAATTATATAATGGTAGCAACATGTTGAATGAATGCAATTGTATCTAAATAATTTATTTTTTGTTTAATACTAACCGTCAAGTTTACAAATCACAATTTAGAGTCAATAGAATTAATAGAACTTTGCATGTTTTGACCACAGGAAGTTATTTCCATTTCTCACGTTTAATTAAAAAGGATTATCGTTATTTTTTTCCTATTTGCCTTACATTTGCGGTTTCTGAAACGCGCTGTATCTATTATGAGACTTGTTTACGCGCAATTTATGTAACTCATGCTTGTGTGATAAATGCGCCCTCATCGCGCCTTAACCCAGAATTTCCTTGACCTTATGTAAGATAAGATTTGAAATAACTTTAAGAAATGTAGAATAAAACATAGCCACTGTACTCCGAATAAAAGCACCTTGTGCACTCGAGATGAACTCAACAAAATATCACACGGTTATATATTTCGATTTTTCAGTTGCATATATTACCGTGAAAACAGCGAAATATTACCGTGCCGGTCGTGTCTCAGTCTTGTTGATTACTCAAACATTGAATACACGAAATGCTTTTATTCGAGTCTTTTAAGCAAATATAAAACTACAATTTAGTGTCCAGATGCTTTGCCTTCCCATTCAATTACTGCAGGAATAACCTTATGCAAGTGATTGATATAACGCTGGCATTTTTCTGGTGTTACAGATTTCCAAAACAGACGTATACCATTTACGAGTTCGTCTTTGTTTTTGGGCTTTATGATCCGACGAAGAAAACTCTTCAGTTCATGCCACATCATTTCAATGGGATTTAAATCAGGACTCTCAGCAGGTGTAGGCCAATAAATAAGGTTGTCTTTTATGTAATTCATTGCCAAATGACCTGAAATTAAGCAATTTAAACCGCATTAAATTGTAATCCTATATATTTTTCAGTGAGTCAATTCAAACATACTTAGCTTTTGTGTCAACAACATACTTTTGTGTTTGGGATCATTATCCTGGATAAAGCGGTATCCATTTGGAAATTTCTTCTTGACGAATGGAAAAAGCGCATCTTTCAAAATACATTGAACGTAAAATTCTTTCTTCATTATTCCGGTAAAAAGAAGAATCTCGGTTGCCCCGCGTTTTGAAATCCCCGCCCACACGTGAACCTTGTACGGATGCTTTGCTTTAGGTTTTAATTTAGCAGGCATATGTTTTTTCCGGAAGCAAAGTTTTCCATGTTGTTCAAGCCATATACTTGATTCGTCAGTAAAGATAACATCCTCAAAAGTTTCATTTTGGGCTTTTAACTGTTGACAAAACCCCCAGTCTGGCGATGCGATTTGCCTCTCTCACAACTTGGCAGTATTTCGGCCCACTTTTTACCCAACCTAACTTTTTACGAGTGGCTTTTATCACACTAATCGACAGGTCAATTCCAAATTGATCGCGAATTAATGGTTGGAGTCCTATATGTGAGTTCAAAGAATATATGAATTAAAAAATATCATGCATGCACTGGTAGGCCTAGTTAATTTATGATTCTTCTGAAACAGCTTTAAATTAAGGAAAACACCGAAACGTACATATATACACTCTTGACTTGCAGTTTATTATACACGATTCTAGCATGTATTTGGGCAGCTGAAATTACAAAGATATAATCGAAGCTATTCTGGTAAGAGGTTATGCTTAGAACATGTATGGTTTCCCCAGATGCCTGTCTTGGTTATATACTTTAAAGTATGCTACCTTTGGCCGTCAACTCATCATTTCCTTCTAATTTCTGGTCAATGAAATCCATATGGCACTTCTTTACCAATGAGGGGCGTCCGCTACTTTTTTTATCTGCCAGTGTCAGTGAACCGGTCTCTCTGAATTTCCTGTACCATCGCGCGACAGTGTTCCGACTAATCACTATGTCATCATTTTCTTTGAGTTCCTTAACCACGTTACATATTTTTGTGTTTCTCTTGAAATTTGAATAAATTCGCAATTTAGCATACTCCGAGATCCTTCCCATTGTTAAAAGGGTTGTACTTCAGTTGTTGCAGAACTTCGAAAATATGAAAAATATCTCAAGAGTTAAACAGGATATCTCACGAGTGAGCGAAGCGAACGAGTGAGATATCCTGTTCAACACGAGAAATAAATTTCATATTTTCAAGCATCCGATCTACTATTTTTTCTGTTTCAGAAACAATTACGGTATTGTAATATCAATATGATTCTTTACAGGTGAAATATATTATATTGTACAAGTTTTATAATTTCTTTTTAAGGATTTCATTGGGTAATTTTACATTAACCCATTAGTCATTACTCCAATGATTTTCAAACAAGTCACGTCGGATAGGCGCACATGCATGCACTTAGGCAACAGCACGAATTTTTTAAATATGAATATTCTTAACTTCACTGCAATACAGTATGTAATAATAATAATAATAATAATAATGAAAACTTTATTGAATTTTTTACGTATATATACAATTGTAAATCTCACTATACTGACTTAGGTAATTTACAATTGGCTACATGAATCACAGAGTACTACATATGTACTATTTACAGTAAAAATAAGAATAAAATGGGTATATGATTATATATATTGTTATATGTAGTTATTAATTTAAATGTTTATCAATTCAGGGTTTGTCCACTCTTTGTTTCGACAGCAAAAAATATAGTACGTCGCTCTAATGGCATAAGACGTCATCTTTTTTATGCAGTAATGTTGCTTCTTTTTATCCATTCCTATAGTGTCTAACATTTCTAAAAAGGTGAAGCATTCTTTGTCAAACACACCGAGAGAGCTCATTGATATAGGTTTACAAATTTAACAGAATTAAAGTGACCCCTTTGATCTTCAATTAGATCTTTGTATTTAGCTTTTTTGCGTTCAACGTTATTATGTAGATTAGATTCAAACCCGACAGTAAGTTCTACGACATAAAGATCTTCATTTGGGGTAATTAGGAGTAAGTCCGGTCGATATAGGTCACCAGTTATAATTGACGGGCTTTTGTGGCCGGATAGGTCAGCATAAAGTTGACATGGATTTGTTGTTTGAAACGTTTCAGCGAGAAAGTTTAAAAAAAAAAATAATAATAAATAATAATAATAATAATAGTCTTTATTGGATGCTCAAAGCACACGTTTGAGTCATATATATATATATATGACTCGTTTTTGCGGCACTTAAAAACTAAGCAATCTTAATCCAAAGTCTTTAAATGTGCAAGGACACGGCTCACAACTAATGTGTTGTGAACTTCTGCAGCACAATGAGCTGACATCCAAAAATCTGTTCGTGTGGGTGCGTGCTAATTGGATCAGAATGCTTGCTTAATTCAACGGAAATAACTTAATTGCGGCAATCACAGCACGATAGTTGCGGTTGTTACGCAAAGTCAAACAAATTAACAAATATTTTAAAATGAATTTCAATATTCTGCCAAACACTAACAGGAACATGAGCCCATTTTAAATATCGGCCAACACTCACATTGAATTCAGACTCGGTTTGCATGTTAGCGAGTGTGGACATTAATTTACAAGACCACTAGCAAAAAATATGTCTCTTAGAAATCAACTAAAGGTCCCGTGTTATGGGTTGTTTTATTTTGAGTATGATAAAACTGTGTCTATTGTACCGATGAACAAAATAAAAAAGGTTTTGAATGGGGACAACACTAGCAAAGGCAGCATTGTTGAGATAATGTTTGGCAAAGATCCTCTAAAAGCGAAGATCATTGCTGTTCATGGTAAGTGGTATTTTTCTATTTGGATGGTTGTTTTACACTTGTTGTGCATGAAAACTTAAATAATTGTTCGTTGGTCTGATTGGCAAAAGGGAATTTATTTCATTGTAAGTATATAATGTATTCCTTTTTTGTTGTTAGATGATACACAAATATTAAGGGCAAAAGAAGACGCTTTCGTCAATGATCCCACAAATCAGGAACTATTTACTGATGAAGAGGATGAAGAGGATAAAACTGACCTGGTGAGCTGAAAATTTGCTGTCTTTAATATGAACCAGTAAAATATTGCCCAAATTTCTTATTTTGTTCTTATCGGGAACCAAATTCGTTCAAAAGTTTACAATCAACTACAGGATCGGCCACTGTTTCGTTTCAGGCTTTAGAGCATATACCAAACATAACTTTCTTCATGCTGTATTTGTTTTAAATGCAAAGAAACTACGATATCAGTCGTCTAAATACCTGCTATATATCCCATACTATTCCATCTTTAAAAGGTTGCAGCTAATGTAAATCAACAAGAAAAGTCGAACGAAAATGGCGAGAGGAAACGCAAAAGAGAGCAGGAAAAGAAAGATAAAGGAGAGAAGAAAGACACAGAAAAGAAAGGAAAACAAGAAGAAAAAGAAACGGGAAAACAAGAAAAGAAAGAAAAGCAAAGCCAAGCAAGAAAAGAGAAGAAAGAAAAGGAAAAACAAGAAAAAAAGGAGAAGAAAGAGAAACAAGAAAAAAAAGCGAAGAAAGAAAAGGAGAAACAAGAAAAGAAACAGGTACGCATTTGCCTTTAGGACGTATATCTTATGCCAATCTTCACTTGAATAACGTTGAAGGAGCACTTTTCGTTTGATAGTATTTATTTTCTAAGGAATGGACCCATGCGACAGCTTTCGGTTTAAAGTGCCTATATCACTCATGGGATTTTTATGGATTTGGAAAGAGCACAAAAAGTTAGTATAGAAAGTCTAGATCCTTTTTTTATATAAAACAATAGTTTCTGAGATATCGGGCCTCAAACAGGGCATTTTTCGCCTTTTTCAAAAAAAAGGTGTGTTGCTCGGGGGACTGGGACTCAGGAACCTAATTTGCAAGCACGCCGTCTTTCCTAATAAAAAACATATAATTTCTCTGGTGGTATCCTTTGTATTTTTCGAAATAATGCCGGAACGCTGCGTTGTCTATGGCTGTAACAACACAGCAAGTTCGACAAAAGGTATATCTTTATACCGTATACCTTATTGGGACGATAGCAGGCAAATTGCGAGAAGCAGACGAAAGAAATGGGAGGACTTCATTCGGCGGAAAAGAGACAAATGGCTGCCATGTGTTAGTTCAGTTGTGTGCTCTGAACACTTCGCGCAAGAATGTTTTGAGTACGGTTCGAGCACTGTAGAAAAGTACAAGATCCCGAAGCTTAAGCGAGATGAAGTTGGAGTTACTGCTGTGCCTTCTCTGCTGCCTAAAGCGACGTCTTTGGATAGTGAACGAAGTATGCACATACAACACAGAGGGAAGGTGTGTATTTATATCTCGTGTTTGTTTGAATCTAGGTATTCAAACCGTGTGCGTTTCCATCCCTGGCTTTGTTTTATATTGATATATTTTATTACTTTTGATAGTTTGTATTTAAATCTAAGATATAAAATCTTGCGAATTTATAGATAGCATTTGCGGAAGGACCCCCAACTGTTGAAGAACCTCAGTCTTCGATGTCAACAAACGTGAGTATTTTGTATTTTGAAACGTATAATTCTCTTGGTGTATTTACAACTAAATAATATCTACATTTATAGATAACATTTGAGGAAGGACTTTCAACTGGTGAGGAACCCGGACCTTCAACTTCGAAAAAAATAAAAGAGGCGAGTGTTTTGGACTTTGGAACAGACTTGTATCATATTGCATGCAATAACGTGAGACTTTATTTCAAGGCAAATTTCAGTGGTCATGCAAACCCATATACTAATGACAGTTTCTTGTGTTGTAAACATACAAAAGGGCTAATTCAAGAATGTATTTTTGTCTTTTATAGCATGGGGAATGTAGCAATTGCAAAGCTTTGTTGCTAAAAAATAAGAGGCTCAAGAGTGATTGGCTGTCTGCAAAAAACAAGCTTGAAGTTTGCAGAATGCAAATTGCAAAAAATTCAGGTAAGTCATATGTACTGATTTCTTTTGGCCTTACATTACTGCAATTTCATACCCAGAGCAATAGGATCAACCTACACTGTAGCCTCTGGGTATAAGATTGCACATACTGTAGAGATCATACATCATGTAGTGACCCAGCACCAATAATTAACCATAGTAACAAACTTTTTATGATCGTGAAAAAACACAGGAGAAGAAACTCATCCCAGTACAGCGTCAAGATGTGATCTCACAACAATCGTAAGTGATGATGAACAGTGCAGCTCAGACATTGGAATACCTCCATCAGATGATTTCCATGAAGAGGATTGCTATGATGAAGAAACACCAGAAGAATCAACAGAGACTGAGACAGATGATGAGACAAATCCGCAACATAAAAGGTGAGTGGACAACCCTGATAATAAATGTAAACATAATGCATATGAAACATTTCACAAAAATGACTGGACATGAAAGACTATGTACCATATTGATGAGTAGAAAGATCAGTATGTGGATACACAACTTTATAACAGACTATATATTCTGCAAGAGTAGTTGACACAACATAAGCTATAAGGAGTCACTGAAATAATTGAAATAAATTACTTTTTTAGAATCTTTTTGAATGATTCCAATTTGAGAAGAGAGCCAAAGTTCATTGTGTTCTTTACACAGTTACTCGCTCTCTTCAAATTTTGCCATGCCTGCAAATGTGACAACCCTCTTGTCGAAGTCCAAGAAAATGGTACGATGGCCGAAGTGACCTCCATATGTGCCAACCCGAAGTGTGGCAAGACAACCAAGTGGTTCAGTCAACCATATATGACAGGGACAATGATTCCAGCTGGCAATTTTTTGCTTTCATTTGGTATACTTGTTGCTGGTACATCAGCCACCAAAGTCCTGAGAGTATTCCAGCAAATGGGATTGAAATGCATCTCACTTTCAACCTTCTTCAAGCATCAACGTGTGAGTGTAGCAATAAATATTTAGCTGACAATATGCCTTTTATTTTACCCTGTCTAACTGCAGATGATTTTACTTGTCAGTGGTAAATTACTGCAAGTTGATGGGTTTACTTACATGGATAGTTAGGTACAAGGTTCCAAGAGAGTTTTGCAGTGTTTTATAGTACTTGTATATCATATTTGTAGGAAAAATTATTTCCTGGGATCTTCCTCCATTGGAAAAAGTATCAAGAGGGATTGATTTCAACATTGAAAAGCCAAGGTGATCTGATGATAGCTGGTGATGGAAGGCATGACAGCATGGGTCACAGTGCCAAGTACTGTGCCTACACAGTATTTTGTTGTACAGTGCCATTTATCATTCACTTTACATTGGTGCAGGTATGTTAAAAAGTACAAATTGTAAGAGACTAAGACCACTGTCTTCAGGGGAAATTTGCAATCATCCGAATGGATTAAGGCAAAAACATGTTCTGATCTCCATCAAGAATATACCTTTACACAATTCAATTTTTTATTTATAGAGAAATGAAGTGGGTAACAGCCCTGCAATGGAGTACCATGGGTTTGTACAGGCTATGGAATATCTTCTGGGCACTGGCTTACTCCTGAAAACTTTCATTTCTGACAGACATTCAGGAATTGCTAAACACATGAGGGAAAAGCTGGCAAGCATCAAACATTATTTTGAGGTTTGGCATCTAAAGAAGAGTATGTTGTTAAAATAATAAATGAGTTTTTTACTACTCTATAATTGCAAGCATACTAGAGCCGTGTTTACACTACGAGCATAAACCTGGCCTGGGCCTACCTTTGGACGTGATTTTTGTAGTGTAAACGCACTTCTGCCTGGCCTAGGGCAAGAATTCTGGGCCCATCAAAACATGTGAATTCGAGAGAAAATATGTTTCAGAAAAGGCCATCAAATTTATCTACTAGAAATATGCTTTGGAAATATGTCACTGAATTACAACCTGTATTTTGATTTGTATATTCTTGTGTTTTAGAAATCACCAAAGTGTTGACAAAGATTGGAAAAGTGAATGGAAATGAGATTGTGAATGAGTGGATTAAACCATGTGCAAACCACTTATTTTGGAGTGCGATGACAACACAAGATGGAAATGGCGATGTTATTTGGGCTAAGTTCACATCATTCTTCAGCCATGTTGTTAACAAGCATAAAAATCTCAAAAACCCTGTATTTGACAAGTGTGCACATGGAGATGAGATTCAACCACGCAAGTGGCTAGATGAAGGTGAGTAGCTACAATGTACTGTATATCTGTGATACACTGATACAGTATGGTAACTGTTCTATATAGGCCCTCTGGGATCTATATAGATGAATAATAGCATATGTTCCTAACTTGCAGGCACAATTATAGTTTCAATAAAAATGTTCTTGTAATCTCCATTATAGACTCCATTGCATATGAGAAAATGCTGGCTGCCCTTACAAATACCAAGTTGATGAATGGTATAAAGAAGGCATCTCCTTTTGATCAGACAAGTGCTCTAGAGGGATTCCATTCAGTGCTTAACCAATTTTCGCCAAAAATGATTGGCTACAGCTATCGAGGAATGTTTTGCAGGTATGGATACATTAAACATTGGGTTATTCCAGAAAAGATCCACCCCCCCACCCCTACCCCCACCCCCGGAGGGAAGAAAAAATTGTTTCTGATAGTAGTAAATGTATTAGGACATCCGAAGGGGGTAGGGGTGTTAACTTCCAATTTCCTCTGTGGGGGTGGTATGGATGTTTTCTGGAATGACCCATTATGGCAGTGATTTTGCATGTTTTATATATTTAACAAGGCAATTTGCTTTGAAATATTTAGGCATGCACTTGCTGTTATTCATTTTAACAAAAATTTAAATCGGAGCAACAGAATGAAGAATGGCGTTGAACAACTTCATGTTGTGTACCCAAAATTCAAGAATGGAGAGGCTGTGGTTAGGAATGTAAAGGTGCAGCAAAATTTTGGTATGTATATCACATTCTCTTCACACTCCAACTGTCCAACACTTTTTACTCAGTAGAAAGATCTATATTTGTACAAGTCAGAGGTGCACATAGCTTATTGACCATCTATTTGGCACTCCTATAATAATTACATTGTTATATTATTGCCTTTCTTGAAGATTATGTCGATGAAATATATGAGACAATGATTGATGCAATCTTGAACAAAAAATTAAAGAAGGCAATTAAAGAATTAAAAGATTTAACACCACCCCCAATGAACAAAATGCTTGACCAGCAGCCACGTACCGAGGCCATCAAGAAGAAGAAAAGAAGGGAAAGCATGCCCATTGTTGATGTGCCACCAACAAATCCTGGTAGGTTGGTTTACTTGCTCTAGTAGCCTTATATTTAATGCTAAGTTAATTAACGGTATATTTACATGCTGCGATTTATCATACATGTATGATTTGTATTACTGCATGAAATTACTGCTGACGCCATCATTCCTCAACATGTAAACATACATTAATTCGTCATTATTATTGTTTTTCACACATTTTAGTGCCTGCTGTTGTGGTTTCAAATCCTGGTGACAGTACAAGAAGCAAGCCAAAATGCAAAGCATGCAAGAGACCAATGAAAGGCCACAAAAAGTTTAAAGATTGCCCCAAGAACCAAAATAAATAAGTGCAGTGTGCAATAGGCAATTCCAGCTTTTAGTTTATGCATGCAGGGGGGTGGGGGGAAGTAAGGTATCATATTGCTGATTATGCTGAAAAAATAAAAATGGTGACCATGTAAACATGGAGTGATAGCTTATACTTGTAAATATTTAAATATTTCGGTTGTTTCGGTAGTTTTTATTGAAATTATTTAGCATTATCAGCAATATGATACCTTACTTTCCCTATATTTTTTATATAAAATTGATTATTATCCGAGTGTTTTTCAGTTTTAGTAAAAAATAAATCAAAGTATGTTACTATGTGCTATAAAGTGCTATATATTTACAGTAAGTTTAGTCCAGTTCCTCCAGATCTTCATATCCTTTGAAGTCGTCTTCCTTTTCATTGAAGGATGTGCGGATAGCATGGTAAGCACAAGCTGGCAATGGTATTCGCTTGTCTTTTAAACGGCCATGAACAAGTCGTGTGAATTGTCTGTATGCCACCACACGAAGAAACCTAAAAACACAGAGCCATATGGTTATATATTTACTTTTTATAGTACAAAGGTTGCAGTAAGGAATAGAGATAAAAATGATTTCAGATTACAATCTAAATTATATATCATGTTTTATATTTTAATATATAAGTGGAAACTGACCTATCCTTTGAATCAACCAGTACGCGTTTTAAAATTATCCGAAGCGAGTTCCAGAGACCATCTGTTGAGACAAATTGCGTCGAATCCAGGGTGATTTGTGATGCACATTTGTTGTGTGTTCGTGGCGTCGTCATCAGAAGACTCAGAAACATCTTTGTTTACAATAGACAATGCAGCGACACAGTTTGGTAATTCAGTGCAACAGCGACATTCCTTTGCCTCTACTAAATTTTCGGTATTGCAGTTACCACAATTGCACCTAGAAAAGGTATACAGTGTACTTTAGTTGTGGTCTTTTGAAAAATCCAATGTGAATATGGCGGCCACACAATATTTACAAATAGAAAATTGTTTGACTTATCTTACCAAGAGCTCACTGGGTTTTCTCCGCTTAATCGAAGACTTAATTCTTCTATTTCCCGCGTATGTTGTTCTTGTCTTTGCATATATTCTTCGACCCACGAATCGTCAGCTAAAGGCTCGTCAGCGTATGCTAAAACGTCCTCATCGTCTCGTAGTTCTTCCTCGACGGCATACGAAGGCTCACTTTCATATCCATCATTGGACGTCGTTTCGCATGTTTCATCCTCAATTTCGTATTCAGGGCAACCGTAGGAGCCCTTGTCAGAACTAGAGAACGATTCTGAGCTAGACATAACAATTTACCTCTGAAATATTTGCGTTTTTGTCAGCCGCTAAGCAAAAACGTAATAGATTTTATAGTATTTGACTAAAGACCGGTTCCTGAGTCCCAGTCACCCGAGCAACACACCTTTTTTTCCAAAATGCCCTGTTTGAGGCCCGATATCTCGGAAATTATTGTTTTATATCAAAAAAGGATCTAGACCCCCTGTACTAACTCTTTGTGCTCTTTCCAAATCCATAAAAATCCCATGAGTGATATAGGCACTTTAAAGAAAAGTTGGGATAAAGCCGAGAAGAATTGTTCGCGATGTGACCAACCAGAATTTTTTACGTACTTCTTGGTTCACATTAGTTCTGATATGAAGTCAAAGATGCTTCTTCCTATCAGAAGAGCTGCTGGACTTGGGGACAAGTTCTACTTCAATAACAGCACAGAGAGTATTAATGGCAGCTTGAAAAAAGAGATCGAGAAGCAGAAACTTCGTGGTAATCCTGGAGATCCATCCAAGTGCTCATACACCGAGTTTATCGAGATAGCGCAGCAATTTGTCGTCAAGTACCAGAGAAATGTGCACAGAGCAGTGAAGGGAGATGGGCCATACAGACTCGCTCCTGAGTTCCAGCACCTGGAAATTGATGAAGACACATGGCGTGATCTTTCACCTGCCGAGAAGATAGCCAAAATTGCTATGGTAGACAAAGCCGGTGCAAACAAGCTTGGTGAAACGCAAACAACTACGATTGATGAAAATTTGGAATCTTTGTCACAATCACAGAAATCGGCAGGCCTTCCCAGTTTTGAATGCAGTGGCCTACCTCCTCTTTTTCACGCATGCTGGAAGAATGCTGATACCATCCTAAAGAAGAACGGTGTAACGAAAGTTGCTGGAGCTGTCTCAACCTATGTTGTGATCTCTCTTTCTAATCCTTCCCAACCACACATAGTAAATAATACTAAGAAGGCAGTAAATTGCAATTGTGAAGGCTTCAAAGAAAGAAAAATCTGTGCTCATAGTTTAGCTGTGAGTCACGTTGTGGGAATTCTGGAGAAAACAGTATCCAGATGGACCCCAAACTTATCAAACCTCGTGCAGAATACCATCCCAAAGAAGTCTGGCAAGAAACCGGGGCCACAGCGATACCGCGCTTCACATACAGCACAAGAACGCGATGTTCATGGTCTCGATGATCGTCATGACGGCGTGGTACCATTTCCAACCTTGGAACCATTTCGCCTTACTTGGTTAGAGGGATCAAGAATTACCTCTTGTTATGGCTGCGGAAACAAGATTCGGGCGACCATGCATCATCCAGTTCCACCCGAACTGTACGATATTGTAATTGGTAGGAAGCAAATTTGTGCCTATACACCTCGGGGATCTACGGGACTGCGTTTCTCGGCAAAGCCTGAAAACGTTTACTTCCACTTGAAGAAATCTTGTGTGGCAAAGCAATGTTCTGATCCTGTATCTAAAGATAGCCTCATAGTATCAGATGACCAAAAATCAAAGTTGAAGTTTTCACACCGAAATATGTTGCGAAAGGAATTCGGAATTGATGTGTAACAAGTTAACTCGCATATATCTCACTTTTTTGAAAATTTTATTTCATATTCTCTTATTTATATGCCTGATCGCCATTCTTTAAAGAAATGGTATATGTACATCTTTTCAGCTAATTTAGTTGAAAGAAAACTGTTGGTTAGTTGGATACATTTGTTAATAGCAGTAGCGTCGCCAGTGCAATATCTCGGAGGGAGCGATGCAAATTTTGTTCTGTTCATAAAGCGTAAAAACATTTAACTCCAAAGGAATGAATGATTTGAAAATTTGCGTCACCTCTTCGAATATATTGCGCTGGCTACTCCACTGGTTAATTGTTAGTAAGAAAACTGTGTGGTAATAGTTGGTAAGAAAACTGTTGGTTAGTTATTACACATTGTTAAGAAAATTGTTGGTTAGTAGGTCACGTTGGTCAGCAGAACACGTCGTGCACGTACAGTAGTTATTTTGAGAAGTATTGTAGTAACAAAACTTTAATTAACCAGTTGTTGGTCTTGCTGTAAATTCCAGCTATTTTTATATTTTTGGGTTTGGTTTTGGTTCATATAATGTTGTTCTCAGTTATGTAAATTAGCAATGGGAAAAGACGAAAAGCAAACTTGATCGGATAGTCTGCATCGTCTAGTCTGTTCTTTTACAATTCCACGACTGTCATATTAAATAAAATCTCTATTCTAGTTGCATACCTTCGTGGTACGTATGTTGCCTTTACCTTTAACTCATAGTTAACCGAATCTAACCATTGCTTAGCCTACGGTGTAGACCCCAGCAGAAACACGTTATGCTGGGGTCTACACCATAGGCTAACCGTAGGCTGGGGGCTACACCGTAGGCTAAGACACAATGCTAAATATTTGTCATGTGCTGTTGTCTCGAACCGACGTTATGCTATCACAAACAAAAAGTCTTGGATACCATTACTGCTTTTGTTGCTGATCAGGCTTTCATAAATGCGTGAATATGAGTGGTGTTTTTGAAAACCCACCGATTGCATTAGGATTAGCGTAACAAATAGGAGCATGATTAGGGACTGCTGCCATCATACTACCCCCCCCCCCCAACCACAAGTGTTGCTTCGCACCTTATATGAATTTCAATCAGTGGTGATTTTCCTCAAGATTGATGCCTAATATCGATGACCACGACAGAGAGTAAGTACAATGAAGGAAAAATTATCTGTGTTTTAACATTTTCAACGAGATGATGGTGTTCTAGGCTGAATTAGAGACAAAACTTTTTTTCTGGCTAACACCCTGTAAATACAGAGATAAAAACACGAATTACTGTTCATGCCATGGAATTACATATATCACGAGTTCACAGGGTCACATCACTGAAGATCTATGTGCCAATTTTGTGATTTCGGTAAATATAATTTGGAATTTCATATGAATGTGGATACTGAGGACAAAAACACTGCAATATGTCCATTTCATTGTAATCAATACAAAATTTTATTGCTAATTTTACTGAGTTTTGCTTTATTTGTGAAAATAATGATTTTTTTGTAAATAATGGAAATTTTAGGTGGTAGGTTTTGAGGCATGTGGGCAGTGGACACAAATCTATGACTTTCATTCCCATGGCCTTATAATTTCTGTTTAAAAAAACCTGTAACCTATTTCGTTTCAGCTGACCTTCACACCAGGTCCAGTTGGACAAAGAACTAACAGTTTGCTGCAAATGAGAAAATATCACTGGTCAACTAGTGATGGCTTGTTTAAGAGTATTGTTGGGATTGACAAAGGCAATATTAATTTACATGTACAATATTTTATTTACTTGATAATTATCGAGGGCAAGGTGGGACAAGTCTTCAAGCGACCATTAAATTTAGAAAGTGGCAGCCATTTTAAGTGAGGTATTTTGAGTCTAATCTAAGTCTTCTTGTTACTTTACAAGTTGTTGTTTGTATCTGTCTGATACAGGGATTACAGTGGATGCACATCTACTTGACACATTAAATCTTGATATGTAACTGGCTTTCAGTAACAGCAGACGATTCTACTCTTCAATGGGAGAGAGCTAGCTCTGTAGCTTAATGGCCGGGTTAACCAAAAATCTGACAATGTCTCTAGTTAACTCATTGAGCCCTACAGTGCCCTACTTATTTTTTTACTTGTCTAACGCCAGACGATTTTACTCGTCCATGTTGAAGCTTTGCAGCTTAATAATGAATTGTTTAATTGTGGACTGTTGAGTCTCCAGTTGTTATTGTTATGTGTAACAGTGAGAGTTATGGAAACTTATTTGGATGGGCAGGGTAAGAAAACTTATGGTACCACCACACCGGTAACCAGTATTCAGAAGTGGGATATTGGATTCTCAAGGAGATACTAAACCTTGAATCCTGAATCGAGAAAAAATATAAATTTCAGACCCTGTTATACAGGGTGTATAAAAAAACTGAACAGATTTGAAATTGCTCTCAATTTTGCATAACAGCTATTAGTATCCAGTTTTTATATATATATAGCTTCTTTGGGTACTTGTCAGACTACTTCCCCGTATTCCTCAACAAGTATCTCCAACAGCTTTAGTGCTGATAATTCAGTGTATACACCTCTTTAATCAGCATGTATTTAATTGAGCTGTAGTTATTTATAGGTTTTCCGATACAATGTTAATTTGCTGCTTTAAGTGTATTGACTTATATTAAGCTGAACATATAGCCATAATTTTGAAGTTTAGTTCTGTTTAATATGTTTCATAAACTGAATCTAATAACAGATTTCTTAAATGTAATTGATTGTACTGTAGTTATATTATAACACAAATAAAAGAAAATACTTATTAGTCATATTACCCTGGGGCAGGTTGTTCAAAGGTAACCCATTGTTTTGATTTGTGTGCCACTGTTTATTTCAAAACTTGTGAAATTGAAATTTCAGTCAATACACAGAACATTTGTGAAATAAATTTCAAAATTTATGTCAACAACCCACCCCAGATTATCATTTACCAAAAATTAAATACTACTACTTGAAAGAATATATATTTATTTAACCTTGCACATCTTCTCTTGCCTCATACCAAGGATCTTACTTCTATTTAACTATGAACCACCACAACCCATGTTTGCCCCAGTATCTGACCTAAAGTAATCAGTTAATGCATCTCTAATATCCAAAGAGGCAGGTGTTACAAGAACGTTTTGTACTAAATACTCATCATTATCTGCAGCGGCAGAACCCTGTACATCTATCAACCATTCATTGACAATTTCCTCATGATAAATTTCGCACAAATTATGCAAAATACATGAAGCTGCTGCCACTGTGATGCATACATTAGTGACATTCATATCCACTTTCCTTAAAAACCGCCTAAATCGTCCTTTCCATCACCCAAATGTATTTTCAACTGTCATTCTAGCTCTGCTCAGTCGATAATTAAAGTATTTGTGGGAAGCAGTGATATCAGGGCTATATTGATAGGGTTTCATCAGCCAGGGCAGTAATGGATAAGCAGGATCTCCCAATATTAATGGATTAACAAGAGTTCCATCGATGTTTTCAGATAGGTTTCCAACAAACGATTTTCCCTTGTTGCCAAGCCGATACAAAAAATGCGAGTTGGAGAGAACACATGCATCATGCACACTTCCAGGCCAACCAATTACCATGTTTCGGGAAAAGATAATTGCTGTCAACTACCGCTTGCATCACAATACTCTGATACCCCTTTCTGTTTACATAGTCTGCATGGTTTTCAGTTGGAGCTATAATCGGTGTATGTGTTCTGTCTATAGCCCCACAGCACATTGGAAAGCCCCACCTTTCTTTGTACACTTTGACAATTGCATCACGCTCCTCGCCCTTGGGTAAAAATACAAATGACGATTTCATATTATCAATGATTGCTTGGAAGACTTCTCTCACACAAATACAAACAAATAATGGGGAAACTCTGAACAAATTTGCAATTGTGCGATGTTCAGCAGTGCTTGCCAGATAGTACAAAGCCATTGCCAATCTGCATCTCGGTAAACTGCTTTGCAAAGCCTTGTATTCTCATGAACAATATCATCTTCAATCTGACCTAGGATAAACTGAAATGTGTGCCTTGAAACTCTAAATTTGGTGTACTATGTTTGATCATCCAGAGATATGTCAACCATGACAAACCAAGCATCTGGTCTCATCCAGATGCCTCGCTCACGGGATTGGTTAGCCAGGAGAGTTGATATATACTTTACTCTCCTCTTCCTGGCTAACTTCCCAAAGAGAAGGTCGATTTACGTATAATACTGCCATGCATATGAGCTTGTCGCTTTATTATTTTACCAATTTACTTTGCAGCTGTAGGAGTCAAAAGGCTAATATTATTATTACTTGTGTGATGTTACTCTGAGTGTATATCCACACCAGGCAGAGTAACACTCAGAGTAACATCACACAAGCATCTTATTCACCTGAGTACATTACACCAACACAGCAAATATCATGATTATTATTACTGTAACACAATGCCCGACCGAAACTTATGTCAGTCAAATGGGTTAATAATATTGTTATGTCTTTTCAATATAACTAATTTTCAAATTTGTTATGGCTTTAGGATTCAGATCACTGATTTTAATCACAGAGAACTATGCAAAATTTGTTGACTTTTAATTTTAATATTTTTATACATGTGCCTTTAAATTGAAATGGTAATAATCCAATAAAAATTAACTTTGTTTTGTTTGAAAGAACTCTTATAATTGTATATGAAGATGCTTATTATTGTATTTTCAATATGTAAGGTAATAATTATATGGAATGTTGTTAATAACTTAATAGTTATTAACAACATTCCATATGATTAGCTTACATATTGAAAATAATACACACATCTTATTGAAATACCACATAATTATGTTAACAGGTATATCCCTGTTATGACCATCATTATAACGTACCCCAGGCTGGGGTTATGATGATGGTCACAAGTCCCAGGTATATACATGAAATATAAATATATTATAATATAGTCATTCACCGTATATGAGCTGTTCTGCAATCTGATTGGTTGAATTACTCGCCGTATATCAGCTCATATACGGCGAGTAGTGAAAAACAAGATGGCAGTCCAAAAACTACATGCAGTCTTGCGAAGCAGAAAAAAGGAAAATATTCGCTTTGAGAAAGATAATAGTACAAGGAAAAACTCTCAAAAAAATTTGACAGGTTAGCAAATACATTTATTTCATAGAAATTAGTTTAAATACAAGTTTTTTTAAAGAATTAATACCGAAACAACAGCGAAAAAAACATGTTCAGTGAATAAGCAGAATTTAGCTACATTCTTATGTGAGTCTGCTCTACATACCATTTTGAAGACACAATTGCACCCACGGCAGAATGTTGTCATAGCAGGAGGATTCAAAGATGGCAGAGAAACGGTTTCGTGTATCCGCGGAAATTCATCCAGTGTTTCATCTTTGTTTTCCGACCAGGAAGAAGCAGACACAAGACTTCTACTGCATGCCAAACATGCTTCAAACACTCATCAAAGAGTTGTTGTTCAGTCCCCTGATACAGATGTAGCAGTGTTATGTGTTGCTAATTTTCAGAATATCAGATGCCGTGAGCTATGATTCCAGACAGGACTAAAAGACAAAGCGAGATTCATTCCAATTCATTCATTACAATCCTCCCTTGGTCTTTTGCTCTCGAAAGCCTTGCCAGCATACCATGCATTGACAGGATGCAATACAACGAGTGCTTTTTCAGGTATTGGCAAGAAGAAGTCTTCGAAAGTATTGGTTAATGATTCCCAAGCACAACAGCAACTCGCCAGCCTAGGTGAAGAGCCCCTTACGCAAGAATCTCAACTCCAATCTTGTGAGGCATTTGTATGTTCTTTGTGTACCACTGCCAAAAAATTGCTAAAACTGATGATGCACGGCATTTAATTTCCTTTTCTGTCGGAAGAACAAGACAAGCGACAATCTGCCTCCCACATCTGACAGTCTATCACATCACATTAAAAGAGCCAACTTCCAGACATATATCTGGAAGACAGCTCTTTGTCCAATGCAGAACCTTCCTTCACCGGACAGACTTGGGTGGAAATTGGAAGATGATGTACTATTGCCAGTCCTTATGACGAAAAATTCGGCGCCAGAAGGAATTGCGGAGTTAACAACGTGTGGCTGCGAGAAGTCGAAATGTTTACGCAATTGTTCATACAAGTCAAGTAACCTTCCTTGTACAGAAGCATGTGCGTGCATGGCTGATCATGAAAGCTGTTCAAACCCTGTTAATGATGTTGTCGACTCCAGTGATCTAGAGAGTGAAAATGACGATCCTGACATTTAAAATTTTCTTGGCTATTTTGCTGAAGATGGACTGAACTACCTTTAAGCATATTTAAGTTTTCTGAACAATAACGTTGGTACGTTACTAGCTATTACCCTCCTTGTTATTCTGTTAGAGATTGCGATCTAACCGTTATATACTTCATATAGGGTGGCTGAACCTTTATATTAACAATATTTTATCATTTATAATTTGAATTGTATTTTTATTCGTCCTAGCATGTTAAAATGGCTTGATAAATATATTTTGAGGGTTATTTTTTGTGAAAGGATGCGTTTTCAAGGGTTTTTCAGCAAATTCAGACCAAAAATCCGTATTTTTTAGATCACATGATTTGTCACGTGACACAATGATTACTTGCTCACATTTGTTCGAAAGCCCCGTGAAAGCGCATTCATACGAGAGCTTTTTCATGAGATTTGGTTAAAAGCCAACCAATCTATGGGCCTCGCGGTACGTAGCCTCGCTCTGATGTTATTCCGCCATATTGGGGCTAAAAAAAACGATATCTCGACACCTATACCACAAATTGATAGTACAAAGTATCTCATGTTAAAAAGCATATATTGTTCTATAAGAATCAAGTGTCAAACCTTTTCTGTAAGGTGGGTTGTGCAATGCATCATTTATTGGGATTCAGCTCTTAGACTAAAATGTATTTGTGGGAAAGTCTGGCTCGTCCGAATGCACACAGACTGATCATTTGCATAAACTATTGTATTTAATATTATTTGTACATGTGTATATATTTGTACTATTTTTCCTAAATATAACTAAATGTAATGGGAAAGTCTGGCTCGTCTCCTGATGTTTTGTCTGAATGCACAGACTGATCCTTTGCATAAACTATCGTATTTAATATTATTTGTACATGTGTATATAGTTGTACTATTTTTAAATAACTAAATGTAATGGGAAAGTCTGGCTCGTGTCCTGATGTTTCGTCTAAATGGACACATGGGCTAGCCTTTTGCATAAACTACCATATTTAATATTTTTAGGCCACATAAAAATTACTTTTTTATCGTCCAGCTCGTCAAAATTTGTCAGATCGAGTGGGCAGATTCTTTTGGATGCTTTTAAATTGTTTTAATATTGAAGTCAGCATTTTCACATTTTAATGAGCATAAAAATGCTATTCTGAGGTCAGGAAGGGACGCTAAACAGGTAATTTTTTATGTGGCCTGTACATTTAAATTAGGGTAACCATAACAATAAAAAATGTATTGTTTGTTTGTTTTTTGTTTTGTTTTGTTTTGTTTCAGAGGCAGTCAAGATTCACTTTCAGTCCAGAAAAAAATTAGCGCAAAATCTTGTCACGCCAAAGAAAAAAAAGAAAATGTGCATGTGTAGCAGGAGAGAGAAGGTATATTGTGAGTAAAATAGACCTAACAATTATTGGATGAGTTGATTAAATGTTACCATTTAATCTATTTATGTGATATTCGCTTGAACGAAGGCACATGCCATGATAATTATATAGCTATTGGAAAGAAGGTTGAAAGTTGTGACCAACAAGGAACAAGAAAAGTATGGTCCGACCGTAACAGTTAGATACATGTCTGAGGATGAAGATGAGTTGGAAGGGGAAGGTTGGCGACACATGCATGGAGTTGCAGTGGAGATCAAATGAACTAATGCAGTTCTTCCGAACTTTGCATGATCGGTTGAAGTTAACGAAGAAGTATGCCAAAGACCGCACAAGAACTCAATTAGGCTTGTCTAACAAACAGGCTCCGAAAAGTGGGCCTGCATGGGCGGTGAAAGGCATTTAGCCAGTACAGCTTGCAGGTGGGGATCGTCCTACTGCCCGAGATTGTGGAGCACATGGTGTGAGGCAGCATGGGGGACGTGGTGTAAGAACATGTGGAGGTGGACTGGGAGGTCATAACGTTTACTGCAGCACACGTTCTGAATTCCCTGGCAGAATAAACTGATATTCACATGAAGGATTATACATTAATTATAGTTAATAACGCCACAAGTTCGATTATACATTCTAAAAACACTCTGGTTAAATTTGGGTTAATTCAGCCAAGATGGGGGTTAAAAATCCACCTACACAATCCTGGATAAAAAATTAACCCCTTTCCTAGTTAAAATGCCAAATAAGTATACCAAATGTTTGTTGAATTGACAATTTTCAACCAGGAAATGTGTTAATTTAACCAGGAATGTGCTATGTGGATTATACACATAAAAATACTCGGTGGTTTGAAGGACTCACTGCTTTTTTACTTTTTTGAAAGCACTTATTCTTTAGTATTAGCAGGAACTTTAATGTTTTTATGGTCATGTCATAGTAACAATAATAAAATAATACGATGTTAAGTTATTCGAATCCAAATGTTTACTGTATATTGTTTTATTTTTCCATTTCATTTTTGCAAGACAGTATTGTTGACATTGAGGGTATCTTTTTGTATGAACAAACTTTGAAGGCACAAATAACAAGTCGTACAGTATAAAATCATAATCATTAGCCCTGGGTACAAGATTAATTTATATCATTTACTTTTTGTCAATAAGATATAGGGGTTGCAGTTTGAAAATTTTCAAAAATGTTTTCTCAATTTTGACTGAAACATAAATCATATGAAACTCATCTTATACAAATAGTCTTATAATGTTACAAGCGTCTTATAATGTTACATAAATCATAT